AAAATAAGAAATGTTCCTAGTTAATTCGATAGTAAAGTACCTAGTAATAATGAGCTATGCTATGAAACTGCTGATGATTCCAATCTGTATCTAAGGTGTTTGGATTTAGATTTGACTGTTTGTTAGAATTGAAGTGTGCTCAAAACAAGATAAGGCGAATCCATTTCGCATGACACTTTCATTTCTTTAATTTATATAATATACAAATGTTTCATACTCTCAATTGAAAATTTGCTATGCACTTGAAAACAAACAAATTTTTATTGTCTAATTTCGACTTTTCGACATTAGTAAGTTTTCACCTTTTGCTATTTGTTAGTGTATTGTCTATGGGTTTTTTTTTCTGCCAATTAATAGTATTAGTCTCAGTGTCTAGTGTTGGCGACGCCTCTCGGATATTAAGTGTGATCTAGTGGAGGATCTTTTAGCGGTCGAGAGAATATTAATGATCCAATATCAATTTTCAGTTTTTACAGTACAACGGTAGCCCTTTGCAAACCAGAACGCATTATTGCTTCACAGCGGAAATAAGCAATATAATAGTACCTACTCTGTAATCGTCGTGGCCAAAGGGTAAGACGTCCGGTGCATTCGTGATTCGTGTGTAACGATGCACCGGTGCTCGAATCTCTCAGGTATGTATCAAATTTTTCTAATGAAATACGTACAATTTCAAATATTCACGATTGACTTCCAGGGTGAAGGAATAACATCATATTATAAAAATCAAACCCACAAAATTATAATTTGCGTAATTAGAGGTGTTAATGGTGGTAGGGCATCTTGTCCGCACGAGTAGGTACCACCACCCTGCCTATTTCTACCGTGAAGCAGTAATGCGTTTCGGTTCGAAGGGTGGGACAGCCGTTGTAACTATATTGAGATCTTAGAACTTATATCTCGAGGTGGGTGGCACATCTACGTTGTAGATGTCTATGGGCTCCAGTAACCACTTAACACCAGGTGGGCTGTGAGCTCGTCCATCCATCTAAGCAATAAAAAAAAAAACTATGCAATATAAAAATTATAAACCTATCCATGCAGGATCACAGAACACATAACTACCACTAATTACTAATTTTATAAAGCTTCAATAACTTGTTCATATTCGATCGTGATATCAACAAGTTAAAAATTATATGATCAATGAATATTTGTCACTTAGCCTTATTGTTTTTGGATTCACAATTTGTAAGTGCTTTTATAGTAAATTGTAGTTGCATTAAGATTTACAATGATTATTGTTATGCTGTTTGCTTTCTATCTCTAATATATTTAACTTTATTCGCAGAACATTTTATTAGTTTATGCATAATGTTTGTTTCGGGTAACATAATTATTGCCACAATATGGACATCATAATTTTAATTCATATTGTGTTATATAAGTGAGCTTTTTGGTAAATAGATTGAAAATGTCCCATTAGTATAGTTGTTGCAAAGTACGACTGCGCGCCGCCCTTAGTTGATGAGTGACCAATTTGTATACGCGTCAATGTAGGCGTAAGAGAACGTATGGTTAGCAAAAAAAAATTCATTAATTTATTTTATGGATTACACTAATTTTAATATTTTAAGTATTTTTTTATTTACTTTTTAGGTGTGGTCAAAAAAAAATTATCGCTGTAGCTTTAGCGGTACGTTTCTGTATATTAGTCAAAGGACTCAAATCACTATTATCCATATTGTTCGCTTTCATAAAATTATACTCTTCTTGAAGAAAGTGGTACACGCAGGCAATAATGGCACGTCCCTGGAAACAGTACATAAATATTTTTAATTGATAGGTATTTTTTTAAAGTATTAAACTTTCTTTAAACTTTTTTGATACGACTTATAGTTTTCAAGAAAAAAATTTAAATATCAAATGCGATCCACGAACTTGTCCTTAACGAACCCAAAATCTACCTTTGCATGCCCTCCGCTGCAGGAATGATATTTTTAGCCTATTAGATATATGTATAAGTTACATGTTGGTAACTACATCGATTTATAGGGACAAGTTTAAAAAAAAAAAATACCTCACCATGAATTACTTTCCGTTTTCTTTCACTTTTAAGATTTGACATGCTGACCGTACTTCGTGAACAATAGCAACTGACAACTCATTCGCTACTAACCGCTCCGTCGGCGTCGGGTACACACACTGGCGAATATGTGTATATGATTACAATTACAAATAAAGCCACGCGCACTTGTACTTTGCAACAACTATATATAAAACGGGACACTGGCAAAAAAATTTTTTACAACTAAATTAATAGTAGTTGTGATATTGTCTAGTATACGCACCAATTTTCTCTAATCAAACTACTATACTATGTGTGATTAAAATTAAATAAAAATTAGCAATGTTTCTTTTTATTATTTTAATGATATATAATATACCTAGTCAGGTCATAAGTATTGTCACACAGTAAAAACTTTTCTTTTAGAATGCTGGCCACAAAAAAGTTTATTGAATTCGAATTTCGAATTGTTCATGAAAATAAAAATGTATACTTTTAGAATTTTTACTCATTTTTAAATATGGAGTGGACGCTTAAAGAAGACCGTGTTGCAGTTATTGCGTTGCATCGTTGCGGTTACGCGCCAATTCAAATTTTTAACATACTGAAAAATTTGAATATAACCAAAAGATTCGTTTATCGTACCATCAAACGATACAATGAAGACTCTAGTGTAGATGACAGGTCAAGAAGTGGTCGCCCTCGGTCTGTTAGGACTCCAGCAGTGATAAAAGCTGTGAAGGCGCGAATTCAAAGAAATCCCAAACGTAAGCAGAAACTGTTGGCCCTTCAGATGGGGTTAAGCAGAACCACGGTGAAAAGGGTGTTAAATGAAGACTTAGGGCTTCGGGCATATCGAAGAAAAACAGGACATCGTTTGAATGCTCGTCTAATGGACCTGAGACTGAAGAGATGCCGCGCTTTGTTGAAGCGGTACGCGGGAAAAAAATATCGGGAAATTCTTTTTTCGGATGAAAAAATTTTTACCGTAGAAGAGAGCTACAACAAACAAAATGATAAGGTGTACGCACACAGTAGTGAAGAAGCGAGCAACCGTATTCCGCGTGTCCAACGAGGTCATTTTCCATCCTCGCTCATGGTATGGTTGGGAGTTTCTTATTGGGGCTTAACAGAGGTACATTTTTGTGAGAAAGGTGTAAAAACGAATGCAGTTGTGTATCAAAATACAGTCCTGACGAACCTTGTGGAACCTGTTTCTCATACCATGTTCAATAACAGGCACTGGGTATTCCAACAAGATTCGGCGCCAGCTCATAGAGCGAAGAGCACACAAGACTGGCTGGCGGCGCGTGAAATCGACTTCATCCGGCACGAAGACTGGCCCTCCTCCAGTCCAGATTTGAATCCGTTAGATTACAAGATATGGCAACACTTGGAGGAAAAGGCGTGCTCAAAGCCTCATCCCAATTTGGAGTCACTCAAGACATCCTTGATTAAGGCAGCCGCCGATATTGACATGGACCTGGTTCGTGCTGCGATAGACGACTGGCCGCGCAGATTGAAGGCCTGTATTCAAAATCACGGAGGTCATTTTGAATAAACTTTAGTGTCATAAGAATCTATGTTTTGTTAAGTTCATTTTGGTATATGAATGGTTACATAATGAATAAACTTGTTTCAATTATTTTACATTAAACATGTGACAGAATTTATGACCTGATTAGTATATGTAAAATGAAAACTGGTTGAAAATATGATATCCCATTTCATTTTTGTTATTTCCTAGCGGTCACAAACCGAGATTATACCATGCTGTTTGTGCCTTAATGATACGTACCTACCTATTTATCTCTACAAACTAGGTAGTGTGGTCCGTTACGTTCATCTAAATTCTAAATGTATAATGTCACTTACTGTCAATTAATTTGAAATGATGTGTCAAAAAATTTGAAAAGAAATCGAATTCTTTTCGTTGAGATTTTAGAAAAGTCTAATTGTGTCAAGTGAACTCAAGTGTTAATTTAAATTTTTTTAGTAGTAGTAGTTTTATTTTTCTAAATGGAAAGGCAAAGGTATCATACCATACTGCCTAATCTTTTATATATTTTTTTACTTTATAAAATATGATACCATGAAATGAAATGAGATGAGATAATATAATATGGGATATTTTTATGGAAAATGATAATATGAAGTGAAAAGAAATGAAGATGATTAATTTGAGACACTAATCAACTGGGATGTAATTAAACGAAATGAGATGAGATGATAAGGGATGAAATATAATCTCAGTAAAATGGTGGTCATTTACTGAGATTTTTTCAGTGGACTTTTTGGAGGATCCCGTGAAGTTACGTTCGGCGGCTGTTTTATTTCCCAACATTTGTACACTTTCACAGATATTAAACAGTCATTAAACCACCGTTCACAGAACACTATTACTTCTAGCGAAGCCACCGTTATTACACATTTAAACCTAAAGAAACAAATAGACAAAATAAAACAAATCATACAACTTCACTCCTCGCGTTCCCGCCAAAAAGTCCCTATCATAGATAATTTTTTTTTTTTATGATTTTATGACCTGGTAACTAAGACCTTTAAGTCATGTCTTATTTTAATTTATATTTTTATTTTTATGAAAAATGATAATATGGAGTGAAATGAAATGAAAATGATTAATTTGAGACGTTAATCAACTGGGATGAAATTAAATGAAATGAGGTGATATGGAATGAAATATAATCTAAGTAAAATGGTGGTCATTTACTAAGATTTTTTCAGTGGACTTTTTGGAGGATCCCGAGAAGTCGCGTCCAGCGGCTTTGTTTCATTTTCCCATATTTGTGCACTTTCACAGATATTAAACAGTTAATAAACCACCGTTATTACACATTTAAACCTGAAGAAACACTAAATAGACAAAATAAAACAAATCACACAAAAAGTCTATCATAGATAATAATAGATATTATCATAGATTATACACGATATTAGCTAATACACTTTATTTATGTATGGAGTGGGGTGGACTTTAATCTCTTTGTTTTGTTTTGTATTTGTGTGTTGAAGTATTCCGAAACATGTGAACATCATCGTATTGTTGATCGTTTTCACGAGATAAGACGCGGTTAAATTTTTAAATTATCAACCAGTTATGATTATCGCTATTCAAACTTTAATATTTTTCCGCCAGTCTCTTTTAACCGCGTTAGATAGGCTTTTGAGGCCGTACTTTCAAAAGTTCGCACTGTCCCTCACTAAAAGTTCCTTTGAATCTGATGACGATGAACCCGATGAAAATGTTTTCGCCGAATATGACGATGAAAAAGGCGTTATTTTCTTCCCACCAATGTATGTACAGCGATATGCTGCTATTGTCGACTGTCTACTGGACGAACGGTGGAGCGGAAAATTGGAAAAGGTTTATAAAATAATGGTTTTTCATAATTATAGTGAATGGACTAGACGAGTCCTATGGAGACATACGGATGTTATGGGTTGACTGGTTGACTGGTTGAGGTCATATTTATCAAAACGTGTAACATTGAGACACATGAATAATTTGCAAAATACACTCAAATGAGGCTATAATATTACTGTAACATAATAAAAGTTTTCAAGAAAATTTATGATTGCATACATTGTATTGCTGTGTATCTTAGGAAAATTACCAAAGTTTTATAAAAATATTAGCAATATTTTGTAATGTAATTTTTATTCCATGGATTTAAAAAAAAATAGTTAAACGTCCCCATACTGTTCTTGGATTGCAGGCTACATAATACCTAAGTGTGGACAATTAACCCTTACACAACCTTACACCGGCACTTAGCAAAAAATTAATCTTGTATTCAGTTTTAATAATTGTGAACTGATTTGTACTAAAGATATTTATTTGAATAATTTGAAATGAAAATAATTTTATTATAAAATTTGGATAAACTTAAATACATAGACAGATTTATTGTTGCAGGTGGTAGACCTTGGTTACCATGATATGAGTTTCATTAAGTACCTGAAGGAAGTTTCCGGAATCAAGTCAATTTTGGGAGTTGATCTTGAGACTATACCATTGCAGTGCTCATCAGACTTGTTGAGTTGTAATGAGTATGCACCTAAAAGAGAAACACCTTTACAAATTTCAGTATGTATACTTGAAAACATTTAGTTTCATTGATAAAAAAAGCAGTATTATAATATTAGTGTATAATGTAATAATTTTATAAATGAGTCCTTTGAAGACAAGGAAAGTTTAATGTTAACTTAATAATTTTAAATGTAATAAAAATTCTTAAGTAACATTAAAAAGATCTACAGAAACAGTTCATCTTACACTGCTTGATATTGGATCTATTCTATGACCAATGTGCCCCATCTACTTATAACTCACAATCATTCAGGCTAAGTTGGGTAGCATAGGTCTCCCGTGAATCACTTTATTGCTATTTTGATTGCATAGAGGAAAACCTACTGGCTCAGTAAGCTTCCTACCTTAATGAGCTTATTGTACCTTAGGTATGTGAAGTGTTTATGATGTTGAATTATTCCCATCCCTTTGTCAATTCTCATGCAATGCAGCAGTAAACAATATTTGCATATTTTTTTTAATTTAGTACAGTTCTGACCCATCTTATTTCAATGATGAAAACTAAAGTAAGCTACATAGTGAAATAAAAGTTAAAGTTTCAAACTGTTCCCAGGGAGAGCAGAGCTAGTTAATGATACTGAAGGCAATTATCTAAAAATAATACAGTCAAAACCGTTTACTGCGACAGCGTTTAATACAACATGCCGGTTATAATAACCAAGAACAAAGGTCCCGGCTGAATGCCATACGACCGCCTTATTAAAAATATTGCTTTCTACGACATTGGTAATAACGACATACCTCATAAAACGACCACATTTAACTAATATTTCGGAGAATTAGATCTGTTAGAACGACCGGCTAAGCTGTATTGTAAACAATTTGAATAGGTATCCACATTTGTCTTCAATGGCTATTAAAATTAGGAAAGAAAACAATAGGATTTAGTTTAGTGTAGGGTCTTTTCTAATTCTTAGAAACAAAACACGTGCATGCGGTAGAATCAAAGCCCGCTTCTTCATATCTCTTCAGTTAGTTTGTTACTTATCTATAGACAAGACGCACCAAAACTTTGTGGAGTTATTCGTGAAACTTTCAAAATGTCGCAAAGAAAAAGAAAACAAATTAATATTGAAGAAAAATCGCATATTATGTAAATATATATTTTTCCAATAATTCCCTATCAATTTGTTTGTACTTTGTTTGTACGATACACATTAAACATCACTGGTTGTTACGACTATCGGTTTTTACGACTGAATTTGAGCAGTCCCTTCGATGTCGTTATAACAGATTTTGACTGTACATTCAAAATTTAATATTTATAAATCACACAGTGGAGTTGTCAAGGCTATAAAAAATTATAAAATTTAGGATTAAGACAACCTCCCAATGGTCCCAGTTATTCAGACAGAACACATCTTTGTTCAAATCAGTGCCATATTTATCACTAGACATATTTATGTTCTACTTAAAATTTTCAGCTGCTCCAAGGCAATGCAGCAGACCCAGATTACAGACTTATTGGTTGTGATGCAGTCATAGCCATAGAAATGATAGAACATATGCTACCTCATGACCTGGAACGACTTGTACACACTGTGTTTGCATTTATCAAACCATGGATTGTCATTTTTACCACACCAAATGGTGATTTCAATGTACTGTTCAAATCATTAGAAAAAAATGGCTTGAGAAGGCTCGATCATTTTTTTGAATGGAGCAGAGATCAATTTCATGATTGGTAAGCCGTTGATACTACATGCAAATAATTTTCGAGCTACAAATTATAATTATTCTAATTATATGGGCGTTTTTAGGTATTTGTTACTGTTATTGTTATTAAAATAAAATATAATTGTCTTGTTGAAAGTCATATTCTGTGACAGAAAATCAATTGTTCTAAAAATCATAAATATAGCTTTTTTTATTTTATTTCAGGTGCAGTAATATAGTTACAAGATACCCTGAATATACAGTTTCATGCAGAGGTATAGGACCTGGGCCCGAAGGCACAGAGCATCTAGGCTGCTGCAGTCAAATGGCACTGTTTGTTTCTAAGAACTATCATAAACAAAAAGATTTGAATCTCAATAGTTTAGCATTAGTCGCTAGTAAGTGTTCCTTGGAACAAAATTTGAATGTAAATCACTACATAGTATAAAACAAAGTTGCTTTCTCTGTCCCTATATCTGTCTGTCCCTATGTATGCTTAAATCTTTAAAACTACGCAACAGATTTTGTTGCGTTTTTTTTTAAATAGATACCTAGAGTGATTGAAGAGGAAGGTTTATATGTATAATAAAATCCATTAAATAGAGGAGAAATACTGTTATTTTTGAGGTTTCTAATGTGATGTCGTAAATAATCAATAATAAAATTTCATGTTTCCGAAGCGAAGCGAGGGCGGGTCGCTAGTAAATTCTAAATTAACTTTTTTATGTTGAGTAAGATTTGGAGATTTTAATCATGTATTGTTTTTTACTTTATTTATCTAAACTAAAATATCTTTAGAAAAAGTTTTATGTACTCTATTGCTTTACAAATGACAATAATGCTAGTAATTTTACAGATGATTCTGTTCCTAATGATCTAAGTGACGTGATTGATAATTGGGAGAGCCCAGAATTGATGACGGAGATGATGATTTATCCAGTTAATAAGTAAGTTAACATTTACAAATGCGCCTCCGATTGTTTTAATGTATAGGCCGATCCAATTATTTCACCAAGATCATGTTATTTAATGTCGTGCGTGCGTATTTTTCCTTTGGTATTTCGTGAAATATGGGTTTTTGAGAATAAACCGGAAATATTCCCCGAGTTCAAGACCGAGATCCAACGCATAAGTTACAAGAACAATAAGTTATTTGTGAAAAAATAATTGAATACTTAATCAATACAGCAATGGTGACTATTTGTCGGTTATTACATTTCAAACTTAATCGAATTTTACAACGAATGAAATGTAATGACTCGCTCGAAAAATACGTATATACGTGTTTTTAATTGAAATTAAAATATTGGGTTCTTATTGAAATACCTTGTATTAGTCGATCGGATCTGTTGTTAAAAGTGACACTGATGTTAAAAGTGGGTTCGGCTAGTGGCAGGCCAACGCCGTATAACATAAATAAACTTCATATCTTAGATGGGTGGACGAGCTCACAGCCCACCTGGTGTTAAGTGGTTACTGGAGCCCAGAGACATCTATAACGTAAATGCGCCACCCACCTTGAGACATAAGTTCTAAGGTCTCAAGTATAGTTACAACGACTGCCTCGCCCTTCAAACCGAAACGCATTACTGCTCCACGGCAGAAATAGGTAGGGTGGTGGTACCTACCCGCGCGGACTCACAAGTGGTTCTACCACCAGTAAGATATGCCTTATTTCCAGTATCGAATCGTACACAGATATAACGATTTCCGAGAAACAATCGCAGGTCACGTTTTACGTTCCATCAAAACGAAATTCATCACATAAAATAGAGTTTCAAGACAAATCAACACAATGTAACCTAGATTTTGAACTAGCGAGGAATTTTTTAATGTTCGACAATGAAGATATGTGTTTTAATATTTTATATCCAAGGAAGAAAGTCGTTAACAAAGTATATGAGATTGAAGATGTTTACAGCAGGTCATAGCTTAAAGAATTATAATACCCTTGTAGTTTTCTCAACTTTGATTGTAAATAAAACTCAATACAGTAATAAAACAATTCTTAGCTGTTTATCAACCGACGGAAATTGTTTTTCTTTTAAATAGATGTATTTTAAATACATAAATAAATAGTTTAGTATCTGACAGTTGCTATTATATATTCGTAGTTGCCATATCTATTGGGAACCGGGCTTTATATAATGTAATTTGAAGCTTAGCTTAAATAGTTTTAAAAATAAAAATCGAAAGCACTTAAACATCTAATGATGATTTCGACGATATTCAGCGACTATGGGAATGACGAAACCTAGTGCGTTTAAATTTGCGATTAACAAAGCAACAGTTTAGAACGGATCTTTGATCAGTACTTAGTAATGTTGACCTGTTTTAGTTCTAGTAATGTTTATCATCATCATCATCATTATCCTGCCCTTCTCCCAGTTACCTAGGGTCGGCGCAACATGTTTTCTCCTTCCATACTTTTCTATCATATACCATTTCTTCGCTCACTCCCCTTACTTCTTAGGTCTACCTCTTCCTCTATATATCCTTCCACATTCATAGTTAACATTTTCTTACCAACCTCATTTTCATTTCGTCTCATCACATGTCTATACCATCCCAAACGCGCACTATGTAATGTTCTAGTAATGTTTAATTACATTAATATTATTACATGTATAGATTTTAAGGATGTGATCACAGGTGATATTAACATTTGTAAATTTAACGAGAAGTATCTTCACAGATTGAACTGTACGACGCTGCAAGTTAAGAAATTCTCTAAAACAACACAAGGTTTGATGGCGAAGAATAAAGTGGATGCTTTAGTTCACACAAGGGAAGTAGTGGAGGAAATTAAACATCTCACGAAAATGTTAAATTTTAATAAAAGCGGCTTGAATCAACAAGATGAGAAAACGCACATTTGGTATAATTTCAACTGGGGAGAGAACGCGCCGTATTGGAATCAGTATTATAAAATTGTTCGAGAATATAATTATCCATTTGAGGTGAGATTTCTGTGTCGAAATAGTTCATTCTTTTTTTTTAAATCCTACCTAAGTTGATGGTCTGGAGAGACCATATCAGCGTCATCGGGCTAGTAGGTGAGCTCACGGGGCTCAAACCTGACGACGTTGCTAATACTGACCCAAGCAAGAGCAGTGCTTCGCAGAATTTACCACCAGATCGAAAACGCGACCCACTGAGAAGTTCCGGCGAGAAACTCAGTGGGCTTAGTTCATTTAGTTCACATCATTCGTTCATTGCAATGCGATATTGGGCGGCACTAAATATCTAGCAAAATATGTACTATTTATTTATTTATTTATTTCTAAGGTTTATTTTTTACATGGCTAGTAAAACGTTGATCAGTAAATAATGTACATATTTTTAGAAGTTTCTATTTCATCTTTTTAGACTAAATCAGACGACTGCCGCATTCTGGACTTGATATCGGATGAGATGAATAGACTGATAGATTTACAATATGATGATATATTATCTGTTGATTTAAACAAATTGGAGATTCCACTGCAGCATCTGATGCAGACAGTTCAACATATAACCGATGATGTGGAGAAAGTGAGGTAAATTTGTAATGATATATTTAAAACAAAAAAAAACTAATTTTATTGAAACAGTATTCGAATTTGGTTCGTTCCAGCAGAATATCATAGTATTGTTTTTTTCCCCGCAAATGCTTAATGAATGTTTTTTTCCATATATTATTATGTTTTCTATTAAAATCAATAGATTTTAGTCATTAATTATAATGAATGAAAATATGAACTACAAAGTGATAGATCTAATTAATAGATTACTACTATATTGGTATATTGAAAAAGTATTGAACAAAGCGAACTGCTGAATGAGTCTCATAAAAAATAGTCTGTATTTATATCTCGTGTCATGACAATGGGCTACAATATCCACCGGCTAAAATAATCTATATTACCCCATTATTCAGCCATATTGATTGCAACAATTGTTTTACAGAGAACTTTTAGAATGGAACGGATATGAAGTCGTTGATGACATGGTGATATATTCAAGATTGGCTATCGACAATGTTACTATCGATTCACAAATTGACGACTGGCAAGAAAACGAATCAGTATCGGATGTAAAGAAATTTAATTAGTATATTGTATTTTGATCTCGGATAAGGTTTTTGTTGAGTTAAATTAAAATAGAGTTTTAAGGTAGAGTAGAGTAGAGTCGTTGTGTGAGAAGCTGTTGCTGCAATCCATTCTCTGACTCTGACGGCAAAGCTTCCTACAGGCAGCTTACACAAGCTCCGCATGTTCTAAGTACCACCAAGATTCACCCTCACTAAGGAAGAGGAATTTGAAGGAATAGAACTGGCTCTCCAACCCATATTCCGCAACTCAGCTAAACTACTTGGCGGCGGAGTTTGTTTGGAGGGTGATCGTCAGCCAAAATGACAGGGTTCTACCACCGATTATGCTTTAGGCTCCTGACCTAGGGGGTCACGATTTTTATTTTTTATTTTTGTATTGCTTACCCACTTGCCACCTGGTTTGTCACCTGGTGTTAAGTGGTTACTGTAGCATAGACATCTACATCATAAATAACACCACCCATCTTGAGAATATCGGCTCCTCCGCCCTTCAAACCGAAAGGCATTACTGCTTTACGGCAGAAATAGGCAGGGTGGTGATACCTACCCGTACGGACTCACAAGAGGTCCTACCACCAGTAACTTGTAGCTGGTTAAAACTACGAACAACCATCAACAACCTAGTGACCAAAATATTGCTGTAAAGCAAACCAGGCCTATCTAGGCGTCTGTCCACAGGTAGAAACGTGTCGGTCGATACTGACCGAGACGTTTAGATGATACCAATACACCACAAGAACTTCTTTTTGTAGGTTGTCTAACAAAACTGTTTTTCGGGGTACTCTAGCCTTAACTAGATTTCATTTTGTTGTGTAGTATACTCGTATAAGTAAGTTGTGATTTTGGAATTTTATGTAAAATAACTGGCATTCTATTGGAATGTAGATTAAATATTTAAATTCCTTCTATATTTATTAGTTTTATTTGAATCCCGTATTTAAAGTTTAAATAGGTATGTACATCGTAGGAATATCAGTTGATTTTAGAATTTTATGTAAAATAAATGTGCATGAATGTAGATTAAATATTTAAATTACCTCTATATTTATTAGTTTTATTTAAATCCCGTATTTAAAGTTTAAATAGGTATGTACATCGTAGGAATATCAGTTGATTTTAGAATTTTATGTAAAATAAATGTGCATGAATGTAGATTAAATATTTAAATTACCTCTATATTTATTAGTTTTATTTGAATCCCGTATTTAAAGTTTAAATAGGTATGTACATCGTAGGAATATCAGTTGATTTTAGAATTTTATGTAAAATAAATGTGCATGAATGTAGATTAAATATTTAAATTACCTCTATATTTATTAGTTTTATTTAAATCCCGTATTTAAAGTTTAAATAGGTATGTATATCTTAGGAATATCAGTGTTAGTAAATATCAAGAAGCAGGAATGTCGACTTAACGTGAAGTAATGACTATCAAAATTATATATATTCGGCATAATTAAAAAATCACTAGAATCCCATATTAATATAAATGAAATTACGCATTTATTATTTTCTGATGTTTCAAAAATTTACAGGTTTCGTGATAGTTAAAAAAAAGGTGACATTAAACCGTAAAAGTAATTTCAAATAAATCTAAAACTCGTGAATACTGAATATGTACTAAGAGTACATTAAAGATTTTATATAAATCGAAATATACATACATAGGTATATAAAATTGACTGTAGATATTTTTATACTGTATAAAGTGTGCTACAGGTATATAATACACGCATAATATACTATAAAAGTATTTTCTGTAACGTATAAAATTAAAGATAGGGCTAGCATATGTCGTAATTAATTTCTATTGACTTTCGTTCGCCCAATGATCGAAATTCGACCATAATCACTGACACTCCAAGATTTAAATTCCTCTCACCAAAGCCAGACAAGAATATATCTTTGCGGATTATATTAAGATTTATTACAGAATTTATTAGTATTTGACTCGTTATAAAATATATAGATCAAGATTAAATTTTTATTTTGACGATATTTTCAGTGGGACACAGCGGATTTTCGGTCCACGTCTATTTCCGATGGAAGTGCAAACCAAGACTACCATGGTTTGATTTATTTTCGTAATGCACAATTTTAAAGCATTTTTCTTTTAAATGATAATTCTTTAGCAGTTAATTGTAAATTGATTAGAAAGAAGTCGTAGTTGAACTTAAAAAATATTTTAGAATTCTTTAAAACACCTTTTCTTTGATTAATTAAATACAAAGTAATGAGCAGACTATTAATTAGATTATAATATGTTTTAGTGTTTGAAAGTGTAACACGTATAAAAAAGATTGCAGTTTAATTTTAAAGTATATAAAATTTTGTGTACATATTTAGCCCGTTTATCAGTCTCGATTATAACTTTTGGATCAATTATTATTAAATGAAGGCGTATCCGGATAGAATGAAATGGATATAGCATTAAAAAATAGAGTTAAGATAATTTGAAATCGATATCCAACCTTGTGCCTTTCATATCTAGTAATGTTCATATCAATTTACGCTTTATTTAGGTTTTAAAATAACATATTACAATTTGCAAATGATATTGTACTCGAAAAGGCCTTAGCAAATACTAGCGACCCGCCCTCGCTTCGCTTCGGAAACATTAAAACACATGAAACCAAAAAAAAAAAAAAAAAAGTAGCCTATGTTCATCAGGAACAATGTCGGCTTCTAATGGAAAAAGAATTTTTCAAATCGGTCCAGTAGTTTCGGAGCCTATTCGAAACAAACAAACACACAAATCTTTCCTCTTTATAATATTAGTATAGACAATTTGATTTTTCTCAGTATTTTAATTACATACAGTATGGATTCTTATAGTTATTTTCTAGTTTCACAATTTTGTAATTATTTTATATAGTGTTTTATAGAATGCTAGACATGAACCGAGATTTTATATGCATTATAATTAAAAGAAAATGTTGCATATTCTGATTTTATAAAGTACCTACACTACCAGTTTCCAATATAATTCGTTCATTCCATTATATCCAAAGCTTTATGTACCAAGTTATTCTAGTCCTTAAATATGGATTTTTTAAATTCTTTTGGTTAAGGCAAAATTACCGGTTGAAATTTTATTTTCTTTATTGACACTTTGATTCACGAAAGCTCCGCGATGGTTTGCATCGTATAGGATTTTTAATTAAGTAAAAAAAGACGGGCATTAAATTTCATATTCTCAATACCTCGATACCAGCGGTTTGGCTCTGCCTCTGGAATTGCTGACGTCCGTGAGCGACGGTAACCACTTACCATCAGGCGGGCCGTATCCTCGTCTGCCTATATGGTATTAAAAAAAAATTAACTACTAACTAAAAACTAACTCTGACGAACATTTGACCCCAGATAGGTAGAAAGTTCGTTCACCCGGCAATAAAAAAAACATCGACAAAACATTGTCTTACGTTACATCATTTTCTTTAATAAAGCCATATTTATAAGTGAATAATATAGTATACCTTCTTCCAAAATTTACAATGTGATTTTTAACATAAATCAAGGGCGATGCTTGCTCCGGGCTATTGACCACAAACTACGTAAATTGCGTTCGATGCTGACCGCGGGCGAGGATATATCTACTGAATTGGACCGAGCGGTCTGCAGGCTGATGAAGCTAGCACTCCAGTCCAGCAAGTACCGTTGTACCCCGCCACCGGCGAAATGGATGCAGTGCAAACTGTTGGACTTGTTGACCCTCACCGAGAAGGCTATAGAGAAACGAAAGAGGCATTACATCGAGAACTTTCCGTTGAAAGCGATCGAGTGCGGTAAGTACAATAAGGAAATTAATTAGAACTAGCTGTACCCGCCCGCTTTGCTGGGCATTTGAAATTAACATTATTATTTCTCACTGACGACCCGTAAATTCCAGTTAGCGATCGCAGAATGCTCGCATGGTTTTTGTAAATTTTGCGGTTCCTTTCTCGGTGAATCCAATTTAGTTTATTGCTTAGGTGAGTGGACGAGCTCACGGTCCACCTGGAGTTAAGTGGTTACAGCTCATAGACATCTACAACATAAATACCGCCACCTACCTTGAGATATGTTCTAAGGTCTCATTATAGTTACAACGGCTGTCACCCTTCAAACCGAAACGCATTACTGCTTCACGGCAGAAACAGGCAGGGTGGTGGTACCTATCGGTGCCTATTCACAAAGGGGTCCTACCACCAGTAGACGTAGTATAACGCAGACACCTCACAAAGACATTTATTTGTAGTTTCTAAATAACACCTTGCAGATCCCGCCGTTTTTCCGGGGCTAACTCTTGAAAATACTAAAAAAATAGGGCAGTAAGTAATTGCACATTTCTATATATATATTATATTTTTTTATTAAATTTCCATAAACCAAATTGTTTGTCAGTTGTATATATATATATATTTTTCCCCCTACCTAATCACTAGTAGCCTAGGGGCTATTTCAGCTAAGCTCGGACGGGATTGTTTATGAAATCTTAAATATTCGTACATTTGATTTCGTACGTTTGTTTTAATTCAACATTGTATACGCAAAATTTGCATTTCAGAAACGAAATCCTTGAGAAATATAGCTACTTGACTTTCTCTACGGGTGCGTATGTAATTAAAATTTTGATTACCCATTTAGAGGCTAAGTACATTTCAATATTTTTCGTTCCGTCCTAATGACATTATCGAGTGTCTACTAAGTTACAGGGAAACATAAGTCATCGGTCTTTTTGGTCAGGAGGAAATCGCCGGACTTCCGCCCTCCCATGGGGATGGAGGACGGGGAAGTCATCGGTCTATATTATGATTTATATCTTGGAAGATATTACGGTCGAGGCCCACTAATTAGGCACACTAATTGTTTATAAACACAAAGACTATAAACATATTGAGAGTAAGCGGGGGAATACCTAAATGTGAACGTTGTAGGGATTGGGGTATTCGCTATTATGCTCTATTTGCAGTGAGCAAACAGAAAAAGAATTTGAAAAGTTTGTTCATTTCTTAGCTCAACAAACCTTTCATGCAGATACTTTTTTGCTTCAGAAAAATTAAATGCAAATGAATTCACACCCCGACCCAAATATTCACCAATCGACATAGATCTAGAAGATGACCTAAGTATTTCTAGTACAGATCTATTGAAAGGTGCGTATGAACCTAAAAATTGTGTTTTCTTTTAAAATATGTAACACAATGTTGCTTTGACATTTGAGCGATTTTCCGCTTTAGATATCAATAAAAATACCAAGATTTTTTCAGTAGAATACGAATATATTGAAAGATTCTCACCAACTCGTGAAACCGATGAAAATAAGTTAAATCTGAAGAAGTTTGATGATGATCTCAAAGATTGGGACGATAACGATATGGAGGCAAATCTTTGTTCGGATCATGATTATAATAAATACGATAATAGCTCTGGCGATACGGATCACAGTGCGAATAATAAGAGACTTAAATTCAAAAGGTCAAACAGTTATAAAAAGCGAGGCAATAGAAACAAAATTGCTAATAAAGTTGACTGCCTACGCAAAACCAGTAAGAAATGTTTCGAGGAAACACCACGGAGACAAGATGAAAGGAAGACATCAAGTACTAAAATTATAAAGAAAGTCATAAGGAAAAAGTCCAGTTATAGTTGTTTGGTTAAAACCTGCAGTTACAAGGACATATCAATGGAATATGGTATTTATACGATGAAGATTAAACGGAGCTTGGAACATAAACGTTCGACTGCAACTAAACCGGTAAGATTTTGGACATTGTAATAGTTCAGAGCTTAGAGACAGATGTTAAAACTCAAATTTTGGGAATTTATAAAACGGTAAAGTGAAAATCTTCCATCGAGTATGTGTTTTTGTTCGGAATGCTATCGTTCACAACTTGTACATATTTATCCAATATTATCATGAGAATGTCTTTAACGCCATTCAGGTTTTTGTCAAAGATCATCTAGTATGTGATAGATATCTATACTACATATAAATATCACCACGCCGAATAATGTTTTGTTTTTATTTACAAACTATTCTGTTCGAATGCGATAATTAGGAATTAATTAAAATCATTTTAATCTGCAGATACCCGAGAGTCTTATTGAATTATGCCATCCGGAAATGACGTTGCAGAAAGACTACGATAAATTTCACTATACCCAGCAACAAGAAGCTCAAGCTCAAACTCAAGATATTGGAGTGGATCAAGATTATCAAAATATATCGGCAGCAGAAGAAAGCTTTTTTATTGATATTATTTCAACGGACAATACAGAAACCTTAGCTCTGAGACGTACTATAGGCACAGATCCGGATTTTCGTGAGGATAATAATAGTGTTGTGCAGAGTGAGAAATTGATTAGAAGTGTTAGTAACGATGCTATGAATGTATTTGATATTTGTCAGGCAGTTGAAGTTGCTACAGTTCCATCACAGGCTGTATTCATCAGTGGTAAGTCAAAAAATGCATTAACCGACTGTTCTATCTTTTGTTAACTAATATGAGTGTACACGTACCGCCACAAATAGAGAAAGATGGAGAAGTCTCTCAAAAGCCGCAACCAAACATTAAGACTTACGTAACCACGACCACTCCGCCAGAAGTGAAAGACTGAGAGGAGGAGGAATATGAAATATGAATGAATGAATGAAATATGATATAAAAAGTTATTAGAATATTATTAATCACAATAGGGTCTGTAGACTAAACAAAATGTAGAAAAAAATGTCTTAAAGATAAAATCGGTCAATTATTGTTTTACTTTTAGACATTTTAATTAGTAATGAAAAATCTATATTTATAGATGTTGATGAACCCAGTACATCGAAAGGCATACGACATATAAGTTTAGATGTACAATGTGGACCCGATGAGATTTCTAAATACTGTATGCTTTCTCCTGCAACCTCAATGGATAGGTTCCCAATGTCTACAGGGATAAAAATTGGAGATTCTCTCACTAATTTAGTTACAAAAAGCACTGACTGCAGCACTTCTATGCTAGATAGTGAGCAGTGTAATATAGTGACACCTAAAGTTAAAAACTTTGGGATACGGATTCAAGATTCAGATCCTTGCTTTAAATGTAAAATGGACAGCTCGACGATAACTCAAGATGAATCATACATATATACAGAAATTAATGATACTGCCGAATTAGAAGTTATTGATAAAGCTAAAACTGATGATTTTGAATTTCCTCCCATCGAAGGTTTGTCGAAAAGTTCAGAAATCGCCATACAATCTCTACATAGAAACGATGTAGTTACAACGCTTGTGCCCAAAGTGGTTATGGCTACAGGAAATGTATCACCTACAAAATGCTTAACTCCAAGATTGAGCTATGGAGCTGTTCACGTACATAGCTACCGGGAGAAGCAGGGAGTGCATGATGTTGTTTATCAAGGAGAATGGCAAAGATATAGACCTAATACCAGAGGTGAACCTTTGAAAAGTCCGATTAGTAAAGAAACAAAACTGACAGTCGACCGTAAGAAAAGATCTCCAAAGGAGAAAATTATTGGAAAAGATGCCAGAAAAGAAGTTGAAAAGCAGAATTATAAAAGACCTGTTCAAATGCGGAAAGCCTTGGAATCTAAAACGAAGTCATTGGTTCGAGAAGAGAATACGATAGTTTCCAGCAAAGTACCGAAGATACGAGCATATAAAGGAAGTAAAAAGATAAGAAAAGTAAGTTGCGACAAGACATATTTGTTGTGCACTTTTTTCATTGTTGATTAAACGTTTATTTCTGTTTAGGTTGCATCGAAAGTGACTGTGAGGTATGTACCTAGTAAAGTGCTTAGTTTTTCATTATGAATATTTTAGGATTTCCTTCTAATAATTTGGTTATGGCATGTAGTAAATAACACTTAAATGTTTTAGTTCGATTTCGTCAAAAAATTCCAAAGGAACATATGTTGTTAAAAAAACTGATGTCACAAATATAAAGCCTGATGGACAATATGGAAAAGCATCTACTATTTTACGAAGGAATTACATACCGTTGTACTTGAGACAGCGAATGAAAATGGAGAAGAGTCTCTCGAATGTAAATAACAAATCTATTAACGATCCAATAGAGACGATAGGCATATTTCAAATTCACAAACAAAATCTTAAATCGTTAGCAAACGAAAATAATCATTTTAATTTTAATAAAGAGCGGCGTGAAAGATACAATTTCCTAGTTTATCGTAATGAGAATGAAAAGAAAGATAAGTCTCTACTATCAAAAGTTGCAACCAAGGCAAGTTGGCAGAGTAAGGAGAGGGCGAATAGATCTTTTAGTCCTCAATCACAAAATAGCTCGACATGTTCCTCGCCTAATAGCATAGCTACTATACGCGTAGCATTCAATAAAAAGAGTTGTCAACGAGTTCGACAGAGTGCTTCACCACCTTTAACGTCTAAAAGCTTAGACCCTAAAAAATCCCAATCACCTGCATCAACAAAAACCTCAATCATGAGAACAATTGGGAGGAAAACAAAGCTATCTGAAAACAAAGAAAACATCCCTCATCAAAATGAAAATATCAATAAAAACAAAGACAAAAGAGTGTTCGTGAGAGATTCAAAAAATGTATACATTTCTCAATTGAAAGTGGAAAGTACATCCAAACAAGTGGACCGAAAGAGTAGTGTGAAACAAAAAAAATCACTCAAATTAAATACCACTAGTCTAGATAATGCAACAGAAAAACAAACATCTGATTTAAATGTAGAGTCTGAGACAAAAGCGCAAAATTCAAAAAACTTAGTCGATAATGAAAACGTTTGTGAGATTATTTCTAATTTAACATCCATTGTAGAGCCATCAATCAAAGTTCATATATCTGAACCGACAACACCAGAGAAAAGAATCAATAGGCAAGGCCTAGTAACTAACTGGATTGATAGTTCGAATATAGTTCTTACGGCTACTGCCGATAACGTTGCAATTGGAATAAGGCAGTTAATAGAAAGGACGCTTGATTTTATCGATGATTCTGTTGATGGCGACATTGGAATTGATTCTGAAACGGTGGTACTAAACCAAGAGAATCACAATTTAAGCGGTGACGAAATTCTATCGCAGACAAGTTTCACATCAGCCATAGACGATGAGAGATTTTATTCTGGTTTAGAGAACGAAGCCAATAATGCACCGACGTGTTCATTTAGTTCAGCTTTAGACGATGAGTTTTTGAGTTTAGGTAGCATGGGACTCGAAATCAATGAATTTGATTTGTTATCATTCAAATCTATGCCGTCTCATTCTGATTACGTCACAGTAAGTGATGTGGCTTCGAGAATTGATTCTATGCGGGAACTATTTGAACGTAAAGATACACAAGTACCTCAAGTATGTATAATAATGATATTATTTAAATTCGCGATGAATTACGATTTTAATATGAATTTTATTTTATTTTACTACAGAAAGCGGCAGGTACGTTAGCTATTCAAGCGTTCAGCGGATTTTCTTTGAACTCTGAGCCGTTTGTGGGCGACCAACCGGATCGTGTAAATTTGATTGATTCAGAAACCGGTAGCTTGGCTGTGGAGATAACCAGACAAGCTGTTAGTATTACAACGTGTGTTAATTGGCAATTAACTGAAACTAATATGTTTCGATCCTAAGTAAATCTCAATTTTATTAGACTTCCGAAGAAATGTTCGTGTCCGGAAGATCCTCGGAAAGCTATGAATCGTGTGTGTTAGACGAAGATGCGGTCGTACCAGATTGGCTGTTCAGAATTATAAGCCAGCAACAAGAGGTATTTGCAAACATAATTAGAAGAGATATCTAAAGCCGCTTTCAGACTACGCTACTATACACCTTTTACACAAGCGGTCTTTGGACTACTCACACCCAAAAACAGATAATGCCCTGCGTATACAATATAATAATACCTTCAGGGCGTTGTAGAGGCTTCCACCTTATTGTAGTGCATCAGGCGTGTTCGCCGATGCACACACTGATGACTACTTCGCGATAATGCCCAAAAAGGTGGCATCCTTTATGCGTAGAGTAGGAGGAAGCACCATCAACGTCTTGAGGGTATTAGCTGAAAGACTGGATGGCCCGGCCCCGGGTAGGTTCATCAAGTTGCATGTTCTACATGCTGCTTGATGAGGCTGCCAGGGACGGAGTTGATAGATTTATTTAAATACTAACATAGTTCTTCAGTTATTTGTAATACTAAAACAATATGAGATTTGATGTCTTGAAATAAAAGTTTTTTATTTATTTTATTAATAGCATATAGTATTTATATATAGCTCATAGCACAACAATATCATACACCATACATTGTTATGGGCACGTTCACGCTGTACTGTACCATATATTATTGGCTAAGTATAGGCTTCTATGCTATATGTTAGTATAGTATAGCGCAGTCTGAAAGCAGCTTAAAGAAAAAAAACCTATAATTGCGTTATTGATTTTAAGATGTCCGAGGAACCTGAAACCGGTGGTTTAATTATTCCCCTGCCATACGATGAGCCAATGGCTCTCGCTGAACCGATGTACGATGTGAACAGTAACGTGGTGGAGCCTGTCGGAGCCGGTTCTGGTGCGGGCGACGGTCGCGGTATACACAGTGACTATTCACAAGACAGTTCTGGTAGAGGAACTTCGTTAAGCTCCAGCGACACTTCGTCTGGAGCGCGTAGTGAGGTGATTAAAAAAATTATTTTATTGGTGTTAGGACTTGTGAGTCTGCGCGGGTAGGTGCCACCACCCTGCCTATTATGCCGTGAAGCAGTAACGCGTTTCGGTTTGAAGGGTGGGGCAGCCGTTGTACTTTGCTGAGACCTTAGAACTCATATCTCAAGATGGGTGGCGGCATTTACGTTGTAGATGTCTGTGAGCTCTGGTAACCACTTAACATCCCGTAGGTCATTTTTTAAGAATAGTTTTGAATCGTTTTTTTTATCGGTTCCTTCTTGGCTACGGAAATTAGATTACGAGTTTTGAGTTTTATTCCTTTTTATTTTTGAAATATAATTGAGTATTATTTTTAATAATTATTCTTATGTACTGTTGTTAAAAGGAGTTTTTTGATTTTTCCTATTATTTTTTCGTTTACATAACATTACGATTTCACTCTAGCTGAAAAAAAATCTTTTGTATCCAAAATATTCTAAACCGATACAATGAGTATTAATAACAAAAAGAAAATCATTTGATATAAACTTTTTAGACGATCACAATCGACCCATCATCGTTTGCAGTCCAACTGGAAGTTGTTGGTGAAGGTATTGATGTACCAGATTTGAACCAAATTAGATCCGAACAATCCCTCAACATTGAAGGTGAGATTAATCCATAGACAACTTAGATCTAGTTACGAAAATATCTTTTGTCTATGGACAACAAATGTCAGTTTGTTGTGTTCTTAATTTAAATTTATTGATAGTTGTAGTGTGCGACCAATTTTGGGTCATAAGTATGTAGGTATTCCTTATTTAGCTCATTCCTATAAATCTATCTAATTCTACGTAAATACATTCACAATGCAGTAAATTTCATTGGAAAGTAGAGCAACTACGTAATGAGTGTATTTGATTTTATTTGGATTGTATTTATGTCATATTTGTCATAGGTCATAATATGTATACTTTTACTGGTGGTAGGACCTCTTGTGAGTCCGTGCGGGTAGGTACCACCACCCTGCCAATTTCTGCCGCGAAGCAGGAATGCATTTCGGTTTGAAGGGTAGGGCAGCCGTTGTAACTATACGTGATACCTTAGAACTTATGTCTCAAGGTGGGTGGCGGTATTTACGTTGTAGATGTCTACGGGCCGAAACCACTTGACTCAAGGTGGGCCGTGAGCTCGTCAATCCATCTAAGCAATAAAAAAAATGTATTTGGCAAATATGACATATTTTTTGTAGTGAAAACCTACAAATTGGAAATTGTGATTACGGTTTCCTTATTTGATTATTATGATCTCAGGAGCAACTAACTCGCGACGAGTACGCGAAAGGCGTACTATTGATCAACCAGTTACATCGAGCGATGTTGAGGCCGATGTTAGTTCAACTGACACTGACGTTCCGGATTCCGATAATTAATTGTTTCCGTTTTAAATATTTATATTTTGGGCCTAATAAATTATGAGTTAATTTTATTGACGTTCTTTGAATTGTACATTTACATTGAGTAGGTTACGGTAATGACATTAGATTCGATTCGGTCGGATATCCGTATTCAGTCACGTGGAATATATTTAATAGATTTGCCAACTACCCCACATTTACAATAAATATTGAACAAAAACGAATGAAAACATGTTTCAATTTAAAATTTTAGAAATGATAGTATTGTTTCGCATACATTTTCTCGTAGTCTAGTAATTGTATTATCATGGCCTATCTCCTCTGGTATTGGTAGCTCCGGGATACGATAGATGCAATTTCAAGATCCTGTCATACTTTGCTACCTCAATATGGAAAATAATAGCTGATTTAAAATAATATATAACAAGTAAATTTTCAATAAAGCGCTATTACTCCATTAATCCGAAATGTATGCGCTTCCATTGCGCTGAGCGGTATCGGAAAGTATGTGTAATAAATAGTACTCTACTTCAAGAGTATTTACAGCAATTTAAGTGAACGTGTAGGTTTTATTTTTAATATTAATACTCAGGCTGAATTATTCACTCCAAAAAACGAGAGCTCTGAAGACGAAAAGTGCATCTTATCTATAGGTATAATGTAAATTGAGGTACTAAAAGAAATTGAGTACACGAAATCGAGGAAATGTCTTTTTTTTTTGCATTTATTCATATTGTACAATCTTATAATATGATTCGTTCTGCAAAATTTTACAGGCGAGCAAGAATTCATTATAAAACATTAGCTCTTTCGTATTGTACATAACCATTTTACCAGTATAGTGAAAACATGCATATAGTATTTTAGTTATAGGATAATAAATTACTTAAATTCTAACTTTAAGTTTGGTTCTTTATTAAATACAATATCAATAGGATTGCTCTATCCTGTAAATGTCATTGGGAAATGCCGAAAACAATTTAGTGCTCTCTCTCTCTCTGTGCCGATGAACTTTCTATGCTAATTATCTCTATGATTCTCGATATAAAACATGGTTTCTGAAGCAATTACAAGATACAAGGCAGGCATGTTTTTTATATTGCATTTTTTTTATATCATGTCAAACTTTCTCGCCTCACTTCAACAATTTTTATTTATATTAACTGTTATTTGACAATTTTGAAACGATATACAAAGTTAACTCTTTTAAGACAATTAAGTAACAGGTCCTAATCTTAAATTTAGATAATTTATTGGATAAATTACTTTATATCAAATCAGAATTTTAATCGATTTCAAAATGGAATTAGAAGTTTCTTTAGATCAATACTTAAAAAGCGATGGTTTTAAGATGTTTTAAATCTTCGGAATTGATTTCGAAAATTGATTTTTTGGCAAATTGTAATGAAGTTATTTGAAACCGTGAATTTTTTAGCATTTTCTGATTTTGCTTTTTTGTTCGTAGTTCCAGATTTGGCCCTCCACGCCTACTTGAAAAATTCACCCTGTATACGTAGTTTTTTTGATCGTAATTATGGCAATGTCCTTAGATCTAGATCCTTAGATTTAAATTATGTTTTCAAAGCTAATAATACACCGAAATTCGTCAGCAAAACCTCCAAGAAGTGAGTCAAGAAAGTGTTTTTACAACAACAAATACATTTTTGTAAATTTTTTAATTTAACAACTGTATAAGAATAAAATTACATCAATGCTGCTTTACATTCGTTAAACAGAAACGCGTTGTGTTTATAATTGAATGTTTCATTATCAAATTTTATAAAAAACCGTAAGTACGCCTTCGATAGTTTTATTACGATTGAATGAATAATATTTTATTTTATTATAATTTTGACGTGAGTATTGAATGATAAAGTATATACCTCGACACAAGAAACACAATGTGCGACTTTTTGTTGAAATCTCTTTTATACGCATTTGTGTGCAGTATTTTTTTAAAGTTTCGACCTAACGTACAGAGTTTTTAGATCAATGGATTTTAAAAAATCTTATCCTAAAATGGTCACATATCTAAAATACATTAGAACGAGTTACAATTTGAATTTTTGGAACCGTTGATATTCGACTTTATGGCTCTAATGTCAAGATATAACTTACGTAATTGAGATGCGGCCTATCTGGATTAGTTTAAAAATTATTACGTTGAACTTTTAATTATTAATTTTAAGGCAGTGAAACAGCCAACTTAAATTCAAAGGACAGTTGGGACGATATTACCTAGCTATCATTAACTAGTTACATATAACTAGACATTTTCACAGACGGCTCTTGCGACCGTTTTTATATTTTACAATATTTACACATATAACACACACGTACGTATGCCGGTGAAACATCCGTCACAGTCGTGGGACATTCAAACACTGAAGCAGGACGCACTCATTGTACCTCTGTCATCGAAAGTCCATCGGCTCGTTTGAACATCGTATAACACACAGGATGTTGTGAATTACAAAACGAAAGAACCTCTATTCAAATAACCATTATAAATATATTTCATGAATCGATAAACGATCAAACAATAAACTACATATTACAATAAAATCTAACACACTGTAGTCGATGGCAACAATTTTTATATATAATCTGTGGATTACGCTTTTTAGCGCGAAACATTTACGAAACAAAACAATGTAAATCCTACGCAGCTTTGTAATTGTAACATCAATAATATCATTAATTAATTCAAAACGCATTGTTTGCTATGGTGTCATAACGAATATAGATAATACAAATAGAGGCTTTTAATTTTTTTTCAAACGTATAAATGACGATAACTGACGGTATAGCACAAAATACGATTGAACGGCGTTTCTGGTTTTGTTTTGTACTAATAACTATTAACTAACAGAGGTAAAATATGAAAGCTATAATATACCCGTTCCTGTCCTTCGCAACGAACAACAACGATCAAAATATATGAGAGAATAATATCCGATTTCCACTAAAATATCTATCGTTTAAATATAGCACGTTGGTGGGAAACAAGTTGCTTTTGAGTTGTTCCAATATTAATTAATAATTCGAGAATTTTTAGATAGTTCGTTGAACATACGAACTAATTAAAAATACTTAAAAACGTTGTGTATTATCTAATTTGTTATGAGATGTCTGATAGTATTGAAACGAAAGATAGGATCTCTTTTTCGATACGTTAAGATTTAGAATTTTATTACTAAAATTTATAAAACTATTTTAATGTAAGTACAGTCAGTAGCAAAATTGAATAGTATTTTTGATACACATGTTTCCCAGAACGTGCGCAGACTTAGAGAAATGAACCACCTTGCCCATGCAATCACACAGTTCTAATAATAAGTTCCTTACTTCACCATCATGTTATCACAGAAAATCATGTATTTACAAATTTTTTTCGCACTAATGTGACGTACGTTTTATCCTACAGCATGCCTCGCGACGAATGTACCTGATGGTGAACGATAGCTCTGGAAAGACGACTATTGTACTTTGTTTTTTGTACTCATTTGCTAAAAATACGATCATAGCATTAACAAAGGCTTTGTTCACTTTAATATTAGAAAAAGTTAAAACACATTTAAACTTACAATTAACACGTTATTGCTTTTTAGCGATATTTACGTTTTGTTAATACGTAATGGTCGTGTCATTACTTTATGAGTCTTAATTATGAAACGAACATATAAACACTTTGAACACCGACTTAGTCTAACACTGAATTTGTACCTAAGTTTAACGAAAACAAGGCATTGGTCTGTTTTGAGTTGTACACGCAACTATGTCAACTTTAATAGTTTTATTGTTATGTTATATTATAAAGCCTACTAGATAAACACGAGCCTTTTACGTATTAGTTTTGCGGATACGATTGCTTAATATATTTTTGATAATATGTTTCTTAAATTTTGCCTTGTGTCATATTTGATAACGATTAGGAATCTTTATTTCGCAAAAGCTAACTTGAATGTAAATTAAGTATTGTTATTTCTTTTTAAGTATCTAATGTATTTAGTATTGTTATGGTTTAATTATAATGCTTTATATTAAAGTAGTGGTCGAATGAAATGTTTATTATGATAACATTAAATTAGCATATTAAAATTTGATAACAGAATGCAAAGGCGGATGCGGCGTCGTGACACACAATATTCCAATATCTTGCTTTATTGATTGCTTAGATGGGTGACGAATTCACAGCCCACTTGGATTTAAGTGGTTACTAGAGCCCATAGATAAACAATGTAAATGCCATCACCCATCTTGAGATATTAGTTCTAAGGCTCAGTTTTACAGTGCCCCACCCTTCAAACTGAAAAGCATTACTGTTTCATGGCAGAAATTGGCGGGGTGGTGGTACCAATCCATCCGGGCTCACAAGATACCCTACAGTAATTACGCAAATTATAGAGCGTAAATATATTTTTAATAAATTTATCATAATTTATTTCTTCAAAATTTATGTCTTTATTGCTTCATGATTCATTAAAAAGTTCTCTATTTTAGGCACAGCTCGCGGTAAATGGTCATAGTGATTTTTTCAAACATTTAAATTGTAATAAAAACAAGTCAAAGGCTTTGCATGTAATCATTTTGACTTTTTGATATCAAAGTACGTCTTATTCTGTAATATTAGTTCAATATATATAATTATTTCTTTCGACATCTAACCCTTAAAGTACAACAGTCGCATTATAGAGGTTCACTAACGAGTGACTAATATATGACAATGTATTTTTTGTTCGTGATGGTACAAGGACTACATCGGACTATCGAACGGTACATACTACGACAGAATTGGTTTTGTACCATTTTATATTTATTTATATTAATAATTTATAAAAATCTGAAATTCATATCAAATCTAACATGTACGTACACGCAAAGAGCGTCTTTAGTTTCTAAACAAATCTAAAACCAATTCTGTTGTTGATTGTACAAAAAAAAAAAAACTTTTGCCTGGTGATGATTTGCTCTTGGATTGGTTTGATTTTTATAATTCGATTTCATAAAATTATATTCATTCTTCAACAAAATTGATATAAAACATCTCGACTTTTTTTGTTTGTGCAAAGAAAATTAGATACGAGTACAGAAAATATTAATTGAAACAGAAAATGTTAGTTTTGTTTAGTTAGTTACGAAATGATATGAATTTTAAGAATTTAATCCAAGAAAATCATTGCACCAGACACGTAAATCTTATAAGCGATAAATATAATTCACGAATCAACAATTTGGGTATAGTTTAACGCAGAGATATATTTTTAAATTTACATAATAATATATTCCGCCATTATAATATAATCGTATTTAAATTTAAATAACGTAGGTATAAAGCACTTGGGGGAAGGACAGCAAATTCAATAAAAATGTAATTATTTATTTAATACGATATTAACTAAGTAAAAATTATTTTCTATGTAAATATTTATACAATACTAGTAATAATTTGTTTGACGATGAATTTCTAGTGTTCTCTCAACGTCTTTCATTTGAACATGAAACGGTTTCAAATGAGGTCTCGCCGCAACGACCCAGGGGCGCAGTGGTGGTAACGCCCTGAATAACTTTTATTAAATAGTGTCGTTCCGCAGCTTCCCCGAACCACTTGGCTTACCATTTAAGACCTTATCTGCGAAATCGTAAGATATAAAATTGTAAACCAGCTTGTCCGTCGCTTGCGGCGTTCGACTTGCTCGGTCACGGAGTAGCAACGGAGGCGGCGCGACCCTCTTCGTTTCACCAGGCGGCAAACATAGCCCTCACGTAGTGCAAATGTAATATAGAAAGTTTACAATACATACTAATAACATTTTACGTAAAAATCCTAGCGCAAACGAAACGTCCGGCACCGTTTTACACTTAGATCACCTTAACCGTAGATAATACAAATCAACGAGTAAAATGTTTAGCGGATTACAAACGAAAGTTTCGAAAAGTCGGGTAAACAGTATAACACGTCGTGGGGGAGGTGGTGCGGCGCGGCGCGGGAGTGTGAGTGCGCGCGCGCCCGCGCCGCTAGCACCAGTCGTCCTCGTCCGAGTCCGAGTGGCGTGCGCGCGGCTTGTACCCGTTGGGCAGCCGCGGCGCCGGCGACGGCAGCGCGCGCCCCCCACCCCCGCCCCCTCCGCCGCGACCCATCGCCAGCGCCGCCTCGTAGCTCAGCGGAGCCTCGTACGGTCGCGCGGTTACCTCCGGCTCGTACGTTCGTACGCGTCTGTGTACACATATGCCTATTTTAAAAGAAATTACTCAACCAGTATTCGCGCCAAACAGTCAAGTTTAACAATACGTGCATTGAGCCGAGTTTGAGAAATCGTACACGCGATAGACTTATTGAAGTGAAACTTCTTTAGGCGCGTTGAGGCTAAAACTTAACTCAGACATCTGTCGTTACGGCTAGAGAGGAAAGATAGAATTAGGAAGAGCGAGAGTGAGAAAATAGACAGAGCGTCTCGTGAACCACTCGACCGTGGAGAGACGGAAAGGCCAAACCGAGCTAGGTCGTTTCTCTTATACACAGCATTCCTTATTATAAGAGAAAATTGATTTAAGGATGAAAAATGAAGAAAACCACAATGTGTAGTATTACCGTAAAAGAGGTTTTACTTCTTTCTCTTTCACGTACACCAAGTTGCGCGGGTAACATTTTTTTTATTATATCAAGTTACATCTAAAATAAACGCAACATCAAATCGTCAAGTCATGATCACATTTAGTAAAACAAAAACTTCAACATCACAATTATTACGTACCTCATTGTGAATACTCTTAATATTCAAAACAACAAACTTAAAGTCAAAAGATAAATCAATTAAAAATCTGACTGTTAATTTACGTAAACTTTATATACTTTTATAAATTACCTTTCTCTAGATCTATAATCTCGGTGTATCAGTCTTTCAACTTCTCTGCCGTATTCGTACTCATCATGTAAGGGCTCCACGGGTTCTCTGACCGTGTGCCTTAGTGATAACTGAAATTGTTTAAATTGAACGCTAGATTTCGATATTACGTGAACGACTATTTAATAATAGCAATTATTGTCTTGTAATAACTAGCTAGATAATAGCTAGTCTCGAGATAGTAAAATAGTTGATAAATCGGCCAAAAAACAAACAACCCAGGAAAACGCGCACAAGCGTGACAGATTGACAAAGTAGATGCCGTCACCTACTTTGCCACATGAGGCAGAAGTCTCAATAAAATTGTAGGGGTCAATCAACTCATACGAGCTTACAATAAACTACCGGCAGTAGGCGATTACGTAGATCATTTTTCATTACAGTCTATGTTATGCGCCCCACGAGCAATCGCCACTTCTCCCGGTTTGTGGTGCCCTGGTACATTCATGAAAAAAACCGCCAACAGCCGACTTGACTTGGTCGGTCCATCGCATGGGTAACCTTCCACGTGGTCTGGTGCCTTCTATTTATTCCTGAACGACAAGGCGCTCTATGGAGTTATTTCCTTGCTTGGGGATATGCCCAAAAAATGGATAATATGCGCCCATGCACGAGCGCCTGTTTGCTTTCTCTTTTTCAAACCGTGTGTGTCCACCTAATGCCGAATGTAGGTATCTTCAAATGCACCCCATTCTCTTCGGTCTCTTGCTCCTCGCATCCGAGAGCATGCATGCTTTTAGTGAGTCTTGATACTTGTGTATAAGACTAGCTGTAACATTATTATTTTTCACCCCCACAAAGATTCTCATCATTAACGCCCCCACAACTGGTGTAGGGGGTCCAACACTCATATAAATATTAGCCAATCTATGAAGTACATGTATTTTTTATATGTATACCAAGTTTCAAGTCAATCGGATGCATGGTTCAGTAGCTATAACGGAACATCCGTAAAAATCACTGTAGATTTATATATTACTATAGAAGAGGTAAACTCACGTGCGAAGGACTGTGGCTGATTCTTGTGAATGGTGGCTGCTGCTTGACGTGTAGCGTGGACGGCTTGGTGGGCGTGGGCGGGAGCTGGCGGCCGCGACCGCGTCTGGTGCCTTCGCGCTCCCACGACCGGTCGCGCCACTCCCGCCACTCGCGGTCTCGTTCCCGCTCCCGCTCACCACCTATCGGAGCCCAAACTATTCTTTGAATAATTTAGAAGTCCTCCAATAGGATCGATCGCTTCGTTCAACAAGCACGGCTTTATTATAATAGTACATATAATACGATAATGGATTTGATTAAATTAAGGAAAATAAAAGGGATCAATTTGAACAAAGCAAAATATGTTTATGTTTTATGTAACATATCAAACAGATGTGCAAACAATTTTCTTATACACTAACAATTTCGTAGTAGTCTTCATCCAATCATTCATTCGTCGTTTTCTTTCTCTCAGATGCAACATTTATTTAGAAACTATGCGCTTAACATACTTTTGTAGCACCAGCAAAGGGTCTTGTGCAACATTATTTACGTGGATTATTTTATTGATGATCGTATTACGATTCGACAGACCCTTTGCTTTACAATAATTAAGATAAACGAAAGAATCTGAACTAAAAGTTAACGTTTGATTGCCGCTAGACACATTTAATTTGACAAAAATTATCAGTGGGCAGTAAACAAATTTTTGTGATACAACTTTATTCGATGTGAATGTTGAGATTTTAAATTCTAATTGTTATAGAAACATTCGTATTTTGTCGTCTATAGGTATGAGAATTTGATTAGTAATGTGTAATGAATGTTAGTGTGAAGTTGCTCTCAGAGTACGTTATACTATAGTGCCGTATAGTATAGCAGCCTATACTTAGCCAGTACAGCTGTACAGTACAGTGTGAACGTGTCCATAACAATGTATTGTGTGCGATATTGTTGTACTATGAGCTATATACTATGTTATAGCGTAGTCTGAAAGCAGCTTAATGTAGGTTCCAGTGTGGGTGGCGAGTGGATCTCACCGTAGGTGTGATGTGGCGGGCTGGGCGATCGCGAGGGCTGGCTCAGGCTGGTCGTGGGGTGCGGCGCCCTCCACTCCTTCCCTGTTGTCAGGAATACCTTCATGTACCTTCCACCACGTTTACCCGTGGGACTAACGGATTTATTTCCTTACTCACAAAGGTGACTCTAAAAGTTTTGGATGTCTGTCTATCGTGGTAATAAATGTGTTTTAGACACTAATTCGATGGCAGTCTTAAGTAGAAGATTTATATGGAAACTGTTATTTGTTGTGTGTTCGATATAGAGGTATAATCATGTAGATTAACAATTGTGACTGATTTGAATGGATGGTTTTATAATAATGTCGTGGATGTGTTTTCTCATGTTTAACAAATTTTTTTTAGAGATAGTACATTTAAGCATTTGCATGCTGCATGATAAGTGACGTTTGAAGGGCATGCACCAAGCACCTCTTGGTAATAAATTAAAGGCCCATGAGCAAAGCTGTTCTTGGTGCTAACAAGGGTGGATCGAGTGGGCACCGTGCATGCAGCAGGCAAATTAGGCTTACATTATTCCGATTTAATCATGTAATGTACTTATTTCAATTAAAATCACTGTTTGTTTATATTTCAAATGGATTGCCATTTGCAACTAATACTCAAATAGTCAGTATCGTGATTGATTTATTAGCAGAAAAACTGAGCAATCGTGAAGTAGATAAAAATAGCTACGATTATAGAACTAGCTAAGTATATTTCAATTAAGAACTAGGTTTTTATAATCTAATTATATTTGATCTGAAGAATGCTCGAGCATAAGTGAATCGCTGAAACTTTTCTAAGTTTCTACGTCTACAAAACATGAGTCTACCAAACTACTTTAAAGCTAATCTTCCAATCTCTACACAAAACTTTCAGAGTACCTTTATGAGAAAAAATGTTTGCAAAACTGTTTTAATTTACAGAACAAGCTATCGAAGACAGTTGGTTTTGTTGAAGGTAAAAATCCATGATGAAGGAATAAATACTACAGGAATGAAAATAAAATCGAAGTAAAGGCGTTTAGCTGGAGAATAGGCTATAACTAAGGTGTCTCGTAGGTATAATATATAATAGTTTATATAGATTTTGTTAATGAAAATTAGCACTAAGCCATGGGAGAAGTTCGCAAATCTGCTGATTCTAAGAATTAAATCCTAATAAAAACTAAGTGAGCTAAGAAAATGTCGTGAAACTTTATCAGCAGATTAATAAGGGGACTTTTCGTTGAATTTAAAAGATATGAATTATATTCTTAATTTAAATAATGGAATACGTCGAAGGGGATTTCCCTACCATGTGGGTAGTAGTGATGAGGTGCTCGATGCGCTCGCCCGTGTCTCTGGTGCTCATGCTTGACTATCTCGACGACGTTGCTAACGGTGTCTGAGAAGCCAATGTCGTGATGATAACCTCCGTAATGCCCTCTTCTTCTTGGACTTGGCGTGCGTCTATACAAACCAAATAGGTTTTATTACAGACAAACAAAAGCTATTCAAAATAATTTAATACGTCATGCATTTGAAGTAGCATGCTACATTTAAGGTTATTTCGTTGAAGATTAATAGTTAATCATCGTTAGCAAGACGTGTGATAAAACTTTCGGTTAGTTTACGTAGACCACGTGCAGTGAACATACCATTTGTCACTACGACAACTTTGAGATCATTCTCTTCTTCGATGTCACTATAAAATAAATAACACAAACTAAATAATAAATGAAAGATTACAAGAGTGATCATTTTTTCTCCTTAAGTCAGGCTGATTCGTACCTTAAGCTGGACGATCTACCGTGGTGTCCGTTCTGGTAAGTCTGCGGGGCTTGTAGCCTTCCTTCATCTAATGATTCCATTGACGCGTGGTGTGATCCTGGGAGTTCCAAAACCTAAAATTCGATTACATACTAAAATATATTTTTAAAAAATTTGATTGTCAAAATCTACACCAGATATTAGGTTTCGCTGTCCCATACTTACAAAATTTGTTACAGTATAATCATGCACACGATTGAGTGCCCCAGTTGCGTAACATGCTATGTGCCATCGTGCAATACCATAAGTTTTACTTACCATCAATTCAAATGTACAATTCTAACAAACTACCTTTTAACATGCGTGTTGCAGGTTGAGTTATCATGCATCTTTGAAACAATGAAATAATACGAACATGTTCTAGTGTAATGTTCTCATAATATGACTGTCGTTAATGTTATGTCAGTGTACTGATAGAGAAAGATACTATAAAAACTAAATAATCAGGAAAAGTTATTCAAAGACAACGTAAGATACAAACATTCCCTATTATCTCGAGATAAAAGAGTAGGATGTCTAAAAGTGATATTTTAAATTCTAATACTGAATTTTTTTACCTAAACATCAACAACCATCTGTAAACTTTAAAAACGTTCATGATAATTAATACTTTGGACGTTAACAACACAACACGATCCGATCACTATATCGAGCCTAAGGCCCTAATTATTAAACGTTATAAGTACGACGAGACTGTTCATACATTTCTAAAATTTAAACCAAAGTTTTATTATTACAGTAACTTAGACAGTAAACACCCAAAGAAAGCTCTTAACATACATTTTAATACAACACCGACTATCTATGACACAAGAAAATGCATCGATGTAGTAGGAAACACTTCTTCTAGAGGAAACACTCATTTAGCGAACACATTTACAGACCAAATAAACAACCAACATCACAAATGTATGTTTAAAGTTATTTGCCAATAGTTTTTTTAGGGGTTTTTTAAAACGAATACAATAAATTTGGGTTTGTCTATGATATTGGTAGGTACATCGATTGCACTAGACAATAACTAGAGGATTTCACTGATTAGATATACAACAGTTACGATTGGGTCAAATTTTTTCATCATTTTTGAGTTGGTATTCACCTTTTTATTGTTCCTGAAACAAAGAAAGTTCATGATGACCACGATGTTACTACTGGTTAGAAATTGTGTTTATATATATTTTTTTAAATAGCGATTTGAGGCGGTCACTATTTTTATTAAAATAAAAAGGTCCTTAATTCAAATGAATAAGTTCTAAATAAACAATAAATCGAGTAAGCGGTAGGCAGCGACTTGGCCTTGGGACCTTTGGGATTACTTACATCCATAAGCGACGGTAACACCCCACTATCAACTTGTTTTGACTTTTTGTTAGTTTAAAAATGTAATTGAAACTTACTTGAAAGATTTTCTTGTATTGCGCCTTGCGAGGTTCGCTAATGTGTGGTCTGGGTGGCCTTCGGTTGCGGGTCCTTCGTGGCTGAGCGAGCCGGCCCGGGAACCAGGCCCGAGGCCCGCGGCCACATTCAGCAGGCAGTTAAACAAGGTCGCCTTCTGCACCACGCACCCCATTTCACACCCCAAATACTAAACTTGCGCATGCTCATGTCACACTCAGTTAAGCTTCCTCGGACCTAACTAGCTTCTAAAGCCTACATGAGTTTGCGCAAAATATTGTGTCCACGCTGGAGTTCCTTCCATACAGTCGATGGAGAATAGTGTGAATGTATTTGAGGATAGAACAGAAGTCCAACGGTTGTACAATGGACACATGAGTTAGGTAAGCAGAATATTGCAACTAGACCGAAAATTTTGTATGAAATATAAAACCAATAAGTTTTGATATAGGTAGTAGTTTGTTGTATGTGTGTATAGACCTGAGTTTCAGTTATGTAGGATATGCCGAAATGTAGTTAAAATTAGGATAAAGAGCTGCAAATTACAAAGCATGGTTATTAAATAAATGTGCTCTCAAATAATGTGCAGTAAATATTGAAGCCAGAGGCATAAGTACATATATTCTTTTAAAAAAGGTTTTTTTTTTGTATTCTTATTGTTTAGCATGCGTCGCTTTGTTAATTAGAAACAGATTATTTATTTTTAATTTATATGAAATTTTATAAGGGCGAGAGCGTAACGAACAAGCATGGTTTCATCATAATAATAGGCTTCTAAAAAAAGGTAGTAACTGAGCCAAAATGTAATCGAATTATGAAATTTTCAAATCGATTAAGCGAAGGATTAAAAGGTTATCATTATCATATTAACCGTCATGCACATAATATTATTATTAAAATTCCTGTAAAACAAAGAACTTAATGCATAGTTTCCACATCAAAATCTAGTTAAGATATGATAAGAGTCTATAATACAATCTCCGTCTATCACTTTCACCTATTTAGTGTTCACAATTTTATTATGAGAGGGTATATAATACATACATAGACAAATTTTTGAATAAAACCTATCACAGTTTAGTGTAATAGTTGTATTTTTACTGTGGATAAATCCAATGAGTGATTTTTAACAAAAAAATATATTACTTGCTTTACATTATCACACATTTTAAAAAGCTTTATAATTTGAATTTCGTGTGTTTAGTGATTTAAAATAAACTTTTTCTATTCCGAAAATTTTAAGCAATTAATTTTTTTTAAAACATATTAACTGCTGTTTGTTCTAACTTTATATACATATGTAATTAAGACATATTGTTTCAGGATTTTCTATATAACAGAAGAGAACTCAAGTACTATAGACCCTTAAAGCGAGCGATTTAATGTATTAAGAAATGACGTTTATTTCTACGTCACTAAACTACTGTTCAACATAGACACCCGTCTACTTCAAATTTTGCAACTATAGGACAGGTCACTATATTGTGGTTTACAAAGCTCCGTCCGGACACTTGTCAGGCAAAAATGCGCATCTAACGCATATAATATTTCTTTGAAACTATTATTTTAAAGTGCTCCACTATTCACTAGTACTAAAAAATCTGATCACACCCAATATCTAAAACTATTTTTATTGAGTCCATTAATTCATAAACAAACATTTAAAAATTTAGTAAATCTTCAAATATGCCATAGCCCATGTTTCTTAGATTTGCATTAGAAGTGAATCAACGTTTAGACAAGATGCGAGAAAAAAATTCATAGACCAAATAAAATAAAGGATAATCTAGAAATAGTGCAAGAAAAATGTATTTAATGTTTCGTTCAGTAAAATATTTTAATACTACCGGCTGAATCGCCGTAGGGCTATTCTCGTTGTATGCCTGAAAAGTAAACCACCAATGTAGGCGACTAGTCGGAGTCGATTTCAGCTACAGTGACTTGTTATTGTTGTAACTATTATCTTTTTAATACAAATTAAGGTAATCTGTCTTAATACGAACAACGCCAAAACCGTACCAAGGAAAGAGGTGAACAAATACATAACTATGTTATTGCATAGAGTTTAGTCGTAAACAATAATACATCACAGTTAGACAACACAAAATATCTATTCAACTACGTATATTATTACCTCGAACGATCTAAAGTGGGGGTTTATAGGGGACCATCAACAAACTACTGAATAACAAAAAAAAATATACTTTTACCTACCCACGTAATTGTTACATTTGGCTCAAAATTACAAATATTTTTTACATTGAAAATAGGTACGTCATCAGACGTTGGGATAAACTCTGGCTTCATCTCTTGTGAGTGAATTAATACACAAAGTGAATTGAGATTACTCGGTAGGTACTTAAACATCTTTTTACCTAATATTACTTTTAGTGAAAATGATTCACAGGGCTACGAATGTGGATTGCTTGTCACGACCTACCTGGTCACCCCGTGGTTCTGTCTGGCCAAATCTAGTTGATCTCCAGCTCTCTAAAATCAAAAGGCCAGCATAGATCTTTCCAACTGTTAGTTTTCCTTGGTTGAGGACATCATTTCGAGGCACCAGCAAGTCGAGCATCTTCTTCGATTGTAATGGCCATATGTGGGTTATTGTTTCTCTGAGTTCTTCGTCTGCCTGATCCATTTCTTCAGCTAGTAAAAATATATATTAAATATTAATAAATCACTGATAACAGTTATTTGAAGTCGTCGTGGCCTAAAGGGTAAGACGTCCGGTGCATTCGTATCTACCGATGCAACGGTGGTAGAATCCCGCTGGCAAGTACCAATTTTTCTAATAAAATACGTAGTTAACAAATGTTCAATATTGACTTCCATGGTGAAGGAATAACATCGTTTAATAAAAATCAAACCCGTAAAATTAGAATTTGCGTAATTACTGCTGGTAGGTCGAGTTGTGAGTACGCACGGGTACCACCGCCCTGCCCATTTCTGCCGTGAAGCAGTAATGCGTTTCGGTTGGACGGTTCGGGCAGCCGTTGTAACTATATTGAGACCTTAGAACTCATATCTCAAGGTAGGTGGCAGCATTTACGTTATAGATGTCTATGAGCTTCGGTAACCACTTAACATCAGGTGGGCCGTCCACCAACCTAAGCAATAAAAAATTCAAAAAATTGTTCGAAGTACCGACGTCACAAATTTACTATCGCGCCAGGTTTATCTTTCTAATCCTAGAAATGGGAAAGTGAAGATGTGTGTGAAGAAGTAAAAGATGTACATATATTACCTACTCTTTCGCATGTAATCCGCGGAACAATACTCACCAGATCTCATCTTGATATTTAAATTTTCTCTTATTAAGGCAAACAGTGTTGTGGTGAAGTTAACTTTTCCTTCTTCATCTAGCGGCATATTCATTCTAATTAGCTTCTTATACGCAAGTCTGTTCGGGCATTTGTTTCCAAACCCCAACGGGGGATCCATGTTTTTTAACATATCATACATTTCGGTGTAATGAATTTTCCCTCTGAAATTCACCGATCAGACACGTTACGCCTGTTTTAAAACGCATACAATAAAAATCAAAAACGAGTCGTACAAAATGAAATTATAACTTACGTTGCGTTTGGATCGTACTCGGCCCATATCCTGACGAATTCGTCGAGATGATGGGCGCCGAGAATCGACGAGTCTCTCGTTAGATAATCAAAGTTATCCATAATTACGGCGACGAACAAATTCAACATCTGTCAATGAGAAGAGAGTATACACTTTATAGCACACCAAAACACAATTTACATTCAGAAAACAGTCAAAATGCAGATACATTTGTACAATAGACGGTATTATCGCTAAAAGCGATCTCTTCCAGGCAACCGTTTAATTTACAGATATTCTGGAAAATATTATTTTTTTTGTTTAACAATCACGCCACGTTAACTGGTCCCGTGCTAAGTTCGTAAAGAACTTGTGTTACAGGTACCAGATAACGGAAATAAATATAAGATTTTTATTATACACATACATATATTTAATATACATCCAAAACCCTGGAAAAGACATTTTTATATTTATCATACAAATATCTTCCGTATCGTGTAGTGACCATGTCACTTCCCACTACACCAGACGGTCGTTAAACATATAGCAGGTATGTTGCGGTGTACTACAGACAATATATATATATAGATATATATACAATAAATAGGTATATACCGTTTAAATAAAATATGAAATATATAACTAACTGATTTATATACCAATATACAATACATACTAATATACCTACTTACATACACATAATAAATCAACAGTATGGAAATGATAAATGATAATGATGCAAACAAACAGCATTAAGCAGATAAGTAGTGTTCCTTCACCATTCTAAAGATAAATAGATAAAATTTATTAAATCAAAAGGGTTCTTTTTTTTATTCTCCTTGTGGGCAACACCACCCCGGCTATTTCTGCCGTGAAGCAGTAATGCGTTTCGGTTTGAAGCGTGGAACTCTAAATTGTTGTTTTTAGTTCAAATTTCGAATGTATAATTTTTTATTTATTTATGGCTTAGGTAGGTGGACGAGCTCACAGCCTACCTGGGGTTAAGTGGTTACTGGAGCCCATAGACATCTACAACGTAAATTTTCCACCCACCTTGAGATAAAAGTTCTACGGTCAGTATAGTTACAACGGCTGCCCCACCCTTCAAACCGAAACGCATTACTGCTTCACGGCAGAAATAGGCGGGGTGGTGGTACCTACTCGTGCGGACTCACAAGAGCTCCTACCACCAGTCATTTTTTTTTTAAATAATACCTAGTCAGGTCATAAGTATTGTCACACAGTAAAAACTTTTCTTTTAGAATGCTGGCCACAAAAAAGTTTACTGAATTCGAATTTCGAATTGTTCATGAAAATAAAAATGTATACTTTTAGAATTTCACTCATTTTTAAATATGGAGTGGACGCTTAAAGAAGACCGTGTTGCAGTTATTGCGTTGCATCGTTGCGGTTACGCGCCAATTCAAATTTTTAGCATACTGAAAAATTTGAATATAATCAAAAGATTCGTTTATCGTACCATCAAACGATACAATGAAGACTCTAGTGTAGATGACAGGTCAAGAAGTGGTCGCCCTCGGTCTGTTAGGACTCCAGCAGTGATAAAAGCTGTGAAGGCGCGAATTCAAAGAAATCCCAAACGTAAGCAGAAACTGTTGGCCCTTCAGATGGGGTTAAGCAGAACCACGGTGAAAAGGGTGTTAAATGAAGACTTAGGGCTTCGGGCATATCGAAGAAAAACAGGACATCGTTTGAATGCTCGGCTAATAGACCTGAGACTGAAGAGATGCCGCGCTTTGTTGAAGCGGTACGCGGGAAAAAAACATCGGGAAATTCTTTTTTCGGATGAACAAATTTTTACCGTAGAAGAGAGCTACAACAAATAAAATGATCAGGTGTACGCACACAGTAGTGAAGAAGCGAGCAACCGTATTCCGCGTATCCAACGAGGTCATTTTCCATCCTCGCTCATGGTATGGTTGGGAGTTTCTTATTGGGGCTTAACAGAGGAACATTTTTGTGAGAAAGGTGTAAAAACAAATGCAGTTGTGTATCAAAATACAGCCCTGACGAACCTTGTGGAACCTGTTTCTCATACCATGTTCAATAACAGGCACTGGGTATTCCAACAAGATTCGGCGCCAGCTCATAGAGCGAAGAGCACACAAGACTGGCTGGCGGCGCTTGAAATCGACTTCATCCGGCACGAAGACTGGCCCTCCTCCAGTCCAGATTTGAATCCGTTAGATTACAAGATATAGCAACACTTGGAGGAAAAGGCGTGCTCAAAGCCTCATCCCAATTTGGAGTCACTCAAGACATCCTTGATTAAGGCAGCCGCCGATATTGACATGGCCCACGTTCGTGCTGCGATAGACGACTGGCCGCGCAGATTGAAGGCCTGTATTCAAAATCACGGAGGTCATTTTGAATAAACTTTAGTGTCATAAGAATCTATGTATTGTTAAGTTCATTTTGGTATATGAATGGTTACATAATGAATAAACTTGTTTCAATTATTTTACATTAAACATGTGACAGAACTTATGACCTGACTAGGTATAAGGCATAATGCGCTTAAGAGTTAATAACCAAAATGAAATCGTACTTACGAGAAATGAACAAAAGAAAATGAACGATACAAAGTATGCATAAGCGAGGGTGCTTCCGCAAGCTTCGTGTGGCGGTTTGCCAGCGCGCCCGTCACATTTGGCTGGTTTGAGGCACGCTAACATTATATTAGGCCACGATTCACCTGTGGCACACCTGAAAACCATAGATCAAAGTCATTAAATGCTTTTTATTGGAACGAAGTTGCTTATGGGACGATGCGGAGGGGAACCCTAACCGGGAAAAAACGTCCGTAACGTAAGATTTTTAGTAATGCACATAGTGTACAACTTATACAAAAAATAACATATTTTTTTATCATTCATTGACCACGATCTCAGAGCGTTCGTTTGCGCAATACACTAACTTTTATGCAAACAACCGTGAATGAAGTGTACCACAATAAGTTTACACGTTACCAAATGACCGTGGGTTGTTGCGAAACCTCCAGTTTTATTTTCTCTATACCTCGAATAGAACTTAAAATTAATATTTTTATAATAAGGAACTTCGTTTCTATTCGGTGTCCCACGATACCACACGTATTTTTTTTATTAAATAACATTGACAAAGGTTTTGATCAATTAGCTCGAACGATTATAATATTGGGCGTATCATGAGGTCGCACGGGTACCACCACCTTGCCTATTTCCGCTGTTAAGCCCTCAGGCATTCCGTTTTGAAGGAACAGAGAGCCATTTTACAGAAAAGAGATGAGTGAGCCGGCAAGTCGTCTGTCGATCAACCCAAAACCCATCTAGAACCATTTTAATGCTCTATTCACACAAATATTCTTTGACTGATTACCTGAACAGAAGCATCAGGGCTTGAATAAAGCTCTGAAAGTTATTATGCCTATTTATGTCTTGCTCGGGCGTTAATTCTATATTTCCAAACACCTGAAAAAAAAAGCGCAGTTTAATTAAAACTGGTCTTAATTCTATTGTTTGCCATAATCAACATTGCGAGTAACATTTTCATTAACATTAGTTATAATCACACACAACGCTTACAGCATATACCTTTTTTTTTTAAATACAGGCAAAACAGTAGGGAAAATCCATCATGGACACCCGAGAATGGAGGGTTCAGGTAGTGCTGGACTCCTACCAGCTAAAACCTCTAATTTTGCCTTCACAATTATTTCCCATGTCGTTGACATGGCTCTTAATATTACGTTTGAATTTATTTATTTATTTATTTTTATTTTTACCTAATGTAAGGGCTATGGATCGGGAGTTTTTACTTAATTTTTGCGTACAGTCTTACAATCCTAAAGCTTATACATCTATTTTTATAAATCGTGTCAATTTTTACATAATGGTCTTTTTTCAGGTTATATTTCTTATGCTAACACAATTAGTCTAACTATCTAATACAATTTTTATGATATACAATTTATACTTACTATATATTGCTATCATAGTTTGCTTGCACTTGTTTCTATTCAAGATTCTATTTGCTATTTTTAAAAAATACTTTATAATATCTTTTCTCTTAATCAACTCCGATAAATTTCTAGCAACCATTGTCGTATTTAATATTTTTTCGATGCAGCATATACCTTTGAGCCCTTGGCCACTACAGTTACTGGTTACACATCATCATCATCATCATTTCAGCCTATTGTTTGTGACAAAATATTGCATACAAAAGTACGCACCTGCATTCCGATGATGGCGTAAATGAAAAACAGCATCGCGATGAGAAGGCACACGTAGGGTAAGGCTTTGAAACTCTGCACGAACGTCCAGAGAAGTATCCGGATGGTGTAACCCTGTCTGAGCAGCTTGATCAGTCGAGCGGCCCGAAACAAGCGAAGGAAGCCGACGTTGAAAGTGTTCTCCTAAAAACGTAATCCCCTAATATACAAATACTACCAAACAAACGATACACACACTACAGAATCTTCTTTTTCTCCATCTTATCCCACTAGTCGGTGGGATAAGACGGGGTCGGCACATACGACTACAGAATAATATATATATAAATATTCAAATCGATTAAGATGATGGACTGCCTTCCACGCAAACTAATTAAAAAAAAACTATCAGTTACAAAGAAGTATTCGAAACTATAATTAGATCGATTAAAAGTTCTAAAACAGCAATGTAATTTGTAATAAAATAAAACATTCATTTAGTAAAGTTATCGACTACTTTATTGTACATACTAGGTAACTTTAGAACTATTTGGATATTATGACGAACGAATGGCATCTAGCAGATTTATTTACATATAAATATTCTAACAAATCACCACATAATATTTAACGTTTACGACTAGAAATATTAAAAACCCCTATAGTATTCGGATCGTACGAGCTACAAAAATCACTAGATATCGTAAAAGTTATGGTTTTCTAAAATAATCTAGCACTACATATTTTGATGTTAATTAACAAACAAATTATTTAACACACTGTCTAGATCAGTATACAATCTGGCAAATATATCTAAACGTCATTAGCTATTGGATTTGTTTCGTTACCTGCTGACACGATAGGTCAGCGCAATTTTCAGCAAGGTCAGTCTGTAATCAGGATATTTTTATCTTCACTTTAATTCGAATAAAACTTACAAAAATATAAAAAATAATTTAAACATTGAAGCTCTTAAAATCAGAACACGTGTTAAGTGAAATATCAGAGACTTGATGTAGAGCTGTTTATAGTATACTCGTAATTAAAAAAGGCATACTTACGCCAAACTCCATAATTAAGGCGTCAATAATACTTCCAATGACCGTGATGAAGTCAAAAGTATTCCACGGGTCTTTGAAAAAATTCTGGAAACACAAAAACGTCTTAATAAATTTGCATTAATTCGTTAAAATAAAATTTAAGTTCAAGTAAATTTTTCAGATTTAATATCAAGTAACAACATATTTTAATTTCTTTGAAATATAAAGTAATCGATAAATTAAAATGAGTACATAAATTATATAACATTTTCCACTTTATTGCAAAATTATTATTAAGAGGACCTTACGTACCTAATGAGTGGCTTTTTGAAAATTTATCAAAATATAATTTAGGTTAAATTAGGAAATCGATTGAAAATTCTCAAATACAAATGTACACTTTCTATCATGGCCATAATTTCGCACATGTATTATTAAATTCTGGGGAATAAAATGATACAGGACAGGAGCTAGGAGTCTCTCTATAAAATTAATAAACGATAAATTCAAAAATGGTCGTCACCTAAAATATTAATTATTAAACAAAATCTTTTATTTGATTCCTGTGGTTTAAAATAAGCGGATCGCAAACTCTCTATAAAAACGACTTCTATGCATGTAAATATTCAAGTCAGTATTGAATATTGAACGCTAATCTAAAAAATCATAACGACTATGTTACGAGCAAATATTCATAATATGGTAGATCGAAACAGCTTCGAGATTGTATGTACACAACATTCGTTAGTTAAAGCATCTCCGGAATATTTAATGAAAATTAATATGATGATGGTGATGTCAAAATATTTGCTCTCTGATAAATTTATCAAAATGAAACGCGCACGGTTCGGCGACGAATTACCTTAAAACAAAAACAACAAACCGTGTTTTGTAAAATATAAAAACAAAATAAAATAAAAGGAAATCTGTGTCTTATTCTTACCGTACAACCGAAGGCGATCAGCTTCAGTACAGTCTCGAGAAGGAAGAAGATCGTAAAGACCAGATTCATGAATGTTAACGAGTCCATGAGTAGTGGTGGAGCCTCGTGAAACTACCACAAAATACCAATGTTCTTTTTAAATTTAATATAAATAAAATATGTAAAAATCAATCACGGCCAAATGCTAAACCGATCCGCACATTTCATATCATTTTTTCGTTGATTTGCGATTTCAGAATGTAAAATCTCGAACATCTAAATCGCCATTCTGTATCGTCTTCTAGCATTTGGCTTTTAAAAATTCAAATCACAATATAATAATATTATATTCCATGGCTTGAACGTGAGTGTCGCAGTTTTGTGAGTGTCTTTTCCCCGATTTATTCGTATCGGTGTCGTTCTGTGAGCGTGTCATTGTGTTTCAGTGGGTCTGTGGTGCACATCCACGCATGCCGTTCATGCAGAGCCAGTGTAAAAGCCGAACACGTATTTCATTCCGTAAGCTTAGAAAGTTAAAATATAAAAAAAAATGAAGAATCTTTACATACCTTTACAACGTCACGGTCCAGAAAACTTTTGATCGAAGCACTCATTACCGCTTACCTTAATTCAGCAGGAAACATTTGCCAGCAGCGTTGAAAAAAAAAACACGTGCACAATAGAACGTGCAGCATGCTGCAGTAGACAAAGCCATGCTCGACAGTGCAAATAAATACTCTTATAAAATGTTCAGAGAGATAGTAGAGTCGGGTGGTAATTAGGAAGGGATTAAAAATACTTGTTTCGTAATATTCCCATTCAGTCATGTAAATAGACAAAAACACAATATAAATAAACGAACAGAAAGAGTACATTTGTATGTATCGTATCTGTTTCTGTTGATAGCCTATGTATCAGTTTCAACTGTGTTAGTGTACTTACTTTCACACCGTAAGCGATGATTTTCAACACCGTTTCCACGGAAAACATTCCAGTAAACCCCATATTCGAATACTTGAGGAAATCCGCGTAGTCGTCATTTTGATGATAGTACTGCCGTTTGGTAATCAAGTGCCGGGAGTAATTGACAAACCCAAGGCAATGAAAATACATTTGTTACTTTAAATAGGTATTGTGATGTGGGTATTCGGTACTCGAGAAAACTTGTTAGGACTTTAATGTAGGTTTGAGTGATCTATCGTTAGTTGAATTTACAGCATGTACATACGTATATAAATAAACTGATTAAGTTGTTAGGAATTTGCGAGGAATGTACTCTATGGGGAACGGAGCTAACATAAGAGCACTGACAGGGACACAATGGTAAGTGAAAGCTTGGTTAAATCGACATCTAATCGTCATGTATCTTGAATATAAGTTCGCTTCTAAACGAATGGGAATTTAAAGAGATAGAAGAATTGATCAGACTTCGTTTTAGATTTTCAATAATACAATCGAATCGAATCATGTTTTGGTGATTATAATTTTGAATAGTTCCCAATCACAATGAAGCAGCTGATAGCCACCATTTATATCGCCTGGCAGTAGGCCATTCCACCAAGCATGCATAACCTCCACATAAATAAATTTAGACATATAGTTTGAACCACATCATGCAACACGTACAACACATATGGCCCATACCACATCTTAGTTCCTAACCGGAGATGTGCTTTACGATCACGGCTCGTCGTGTAACATATGCCATAAATGTGCCGAAAGAATATTCCGTGCAGTAAACACTTATACAACATACATTATATGAAATGAACAGCAAGCAAGGACTCACAAGGATTACTGAACAAAAACCACACAGGATTAACGAAAAATATAACGTTAGCGATACACCTTGAATGTCGGGATTGGCTCAGTAGTTGTCCGAGGGCGCATTCCGATGCAGTGTACCGACACGGAATGCGGTGGCTACATTCAAGTTTGTACATAAAATTGTGAATGTGTGTTTGTGTGTCTGTGTCAGTGTGTATGTCCTCGTATTTAATGTCTCTGGGGCGGTTCCCGTAACTTTAATATATTCAGTGTAAATACATTATTATAATATTAAGTGCCAACACATACTATGGACATGTACAACAATTATCGCTTTAGCCAACACGTTAGGCGGCAATCTTTTAAGTACATTTCAAGTGTTTGTGCTGGTTTCTGTGGGTCAGGGTTAACACGCTAGTCTATTTCATGTTCGTACGTGCCTCGTGAGTCGGCTAATTTTTTTCAGCAACTACTTTATCTTTGGTCTTCTACTTTTCACATTATAAAGTGCTTTAAATATCTTTTTAGAGAGATTTTAATATTTTATCTTTGTTATAATTACGCTTAATTCTAAAATACAAAAGCCACGACATATACATACCTTCATCATGAGCAATAACGTATTGAGGACAATGAGGGTCATGATGAGATACTCGAAGGGCGTGGAAACGACTATTCTCCAAACTTTGTACTTAAAACTCGCTCTTTTACTTGGCATGTACCTTTCGAGAGGTCTCGCTTCTATCGTGAAGTCTATACATGATTTCTGGAGACAACAGATAATATTATCACGTTTTTAAAAAATATTCGCTCAAATTGTAACAAAGTTGGCTCGTTGTAGGCAGATAGTGATTTGTGGTAGAGCGTATTATATGTCCGAATTGGAAAGTGCCATAATTCTGACCATTTCTGCCGTGAAGCAGCCATGAGTTCTGATTTTAAGTGCCGAGAACAACAGTTCGAATTTATCTCTCAAGGTTATGTCTATAGCCTCCAGTAGTCTGTTGACTATGAGTCGAATAAGTTTTTTTATTATTGCATAGATGGGTGGATGAGCTCACAGCCCACCTGGTGTTAAGTGGTTACTGGAGCCCATAGACATCTACGACGTAAATGCGCCACCCACCTTGAGATATCTGTTCTAAAGTCTCAGTATAGTACAATGGCTGCCCCACCCTTCAAACCGAAACGTATTACTGCTTCACGGCAGCAATAGGCAGGGTTCTGGTACCTACCCGCGCGGACTCACAAAAGGTCCTACCACCAGTAAAAAAATCTTCCGAGTAATTAATTCAATTATAATGATAGATATTTCAGTATAGATAACAAAATAGAATTAAATTGTTTACCTGATTTTTGTCGATTTCGCCGTCTTGCAATTCCGCTTCGCCCTGCTCTTGAAACGTTATAATAATCAGAGCTACGAATATGTTAACGAAGAAGAACGGAAACACCACGAAGTAAACTATATAAAATATGGACATTTCTATACGAAAATTTTGTATGGGTCCCCTTTCTTCGTACGTTGCGGCCATCGAGTTCTGTAGTACTCTGCGAAAGACGATTAAATTCAGAAAAATGTCATCTATATATTAATACGTGTAGCAAAAACTTTGTACCCCTTTTTACGAAGATTGCGCGGATTAGTATGAAATTTCCCACACATTAGAGAATATAGAGAAGAAGTGCAGAATCCTAATATAAAAAAAAATGCATAAAAATACATTAAATCAATAAAGAAAACATTACACACACTACCATGTATTTGACACACACACATAGACTCTTTGTTTATTGTCAAACTTTTGTTATTGCTTAAAGTCTGTGGTCAAATTGAGAATAGGTTAATAATGTTTATCTTTATTAATATTCGTCTCTAGGGTAGTCTTGGCTAAATCTGTGACTATAGAAGTACATATAATAATAGTCTTTGACCATAGAACCATCATAATGTTCAAACTTATAATTTCAAATACTTAATTAAAGTTGAATTTCGACTACTGCGGGACCACTAGTTATTTTGAAAGAGCTCAATTTAATATTGTTTAATGAACATGAATTAGGATGGGCCTTTATCTCTGTATCTAGATAATTGCCTTTGTAGTAAGAAAAGCATACAGTCACCTGATTTTAAGTACCTAATCACCATCGCTCATATTAGCAGTGTCAAAGACATAGCGCTCTACTGCAAACGGACAAAGACAAAACATTTGGTAACGGTAATCAGCGGTTTGGCTCTGCCCCTGGCATTGCTGATGTCTACGGGCGACGATAACCACTTACCATTAGGTGGGCCGTATGCTCCTCTGCCTACAAGGGTAAGAAAAAAAGTCAAGTAGCATTATCTTCTCCTTTACCTAACTGATTTTCTTTTTCCTTTTTGCTTAGTATACCAAAAAAATATCCGTTCCTTATCCATTATTCTTCTTCACATTTTCAATAATAAAACAAATGAGAACATTAAATGAATCTAAGTCTTGAGATGCCAGTGATTATGGTCGAATTTTGATCACTGGGCTGATAGAAATACAGTTAGGAAGACGAAGAGGTGCCTAAAGGAAGACAAAGCAATTGCAGAGATCGTTCTAGTTCTATGACGAGTTCTGGAAAAGACTTAATGCGTTCGACAAGCACAATCTGAGACAAATCAAAAATATATTTTTATAAATTAGGTACATAAAAAAGGCAGAGAATAAAGGATCTTTATTTTAAGTTTATTCGATTAATTTAGATTCCATTGATTTAGTTGAGGTTAAATTTAAATGATCTGCCATAAAAGAACCAAAGCTACTGACATAGCCCGTAGGATTAGCAAGCTGAAGTGGCAGTGGGCAGGTCACATAGCGCGAAGACGGCCGATGGGGCAGAAATATCCTTATCGAAGCGAAGATTAATTTAGATTCCATTGATTTAGTTGAGGTTAAATTTAAATGATCTGCCATAAAAGAACCAAAGCTACTGACATAGCCCGTAGGATTAGCAAGCTGAAGTGGCAGTGGGCAGGTCACATAGCGCGAAGACGGCCGATGGGGCAGAAATATCCTTATCGAAGCGAAGATTAATTTAGATTCCATTGATTTAGTTGAGGTTAAATTTAAATGATCTGCCATAAAAGAACCAAAGCTGCTGACATAGCCCGTAGGATTAGCAAGCTGACGTGGCAGTGGGCAGGTCACATAGTGCGAAGATCGGACGGCCGATGGGGCAGAAATATCCTCAAGTGGAGACCACGTACTGGCAAACGCCACCTGTGGGACGGCCACCTACCAGATGGACTGACCGCTTGGTGAAAATTACTGGGTCACGTTGGATGCAGGTGGGAACGGACCGGCCGCACTGGACATCAGTTGGAGAGGCCTATGTTCAGCAGTGGACAGTAGACAGGCTGAGATGATGGTGATGATGATGACGATGATGATGATAGTTGAGGTTACGTACTGCGGCCATCCTTCGCCCGTCTGTACAGCAAACAACGTCAGCATGGCGGAGGCGACGTTGTCGTAGTGGAATGACTGCGTCGTCCACGTCCGCCTGTGGATGCGCGGCAGTAAGCTGTTCGACTCGTACACGAAGTACGACCCTCTGTAATTAAAACTCCTCTTTATTACTGCTCTGAATAGATGAACGAACATTTACCTCGTAAGTTATATGCCGCCTTCCACATTGAGATATAAATTCGAAGGCTCAATTGTATGGGACGAGTAAATTAGTGGCAGGAATAGGCAGGATTGTGGTACCTACTCGTGCTCTTAATACGCACTATGAAATGCGATCCTACTAGCATAGTAATAACATTTAGAGAAAGTTATTTGTTAGAACCCAATGACTCTTTTAGTCACCTTGCACGAAACCCAGAGGAAGAAGTGGAGAATTATATTCTAAGATATGAAGTTATGACAATTGTATGTTTATTAGTGAAATCTAACCAGGCTTAGTTGTAACTATCGCCAAATGTTTGAAAACAAAAAAAAAAAAAAATTACGCGCGCGCCATTTATTTTGATGGTTTAGCAGAATATCCCACTTATTATTAAATGGAAATTGGAGCTTCAAACGACACAACATAAATGCCGCTATCCGTTTTGTTCATGAAGCATCTTTAATTGGGCTCTGCACCGGCTTTCACATGTTCCTCGGCAGAGGTGGGCAAATTGTTGGTAGCTGGTACTTACCATTAGGAGCCGACAATGCTATTCCACCAGTAAACTTTCATAAAAAACTATTAATTACAAAATTATGTTATTTACAAAAAATAAACGAAGCTTATCACCGATTTTTTTCAAATACAATAAAAACTTACAATTCTCAATGAAAACATAATATATACATATTTATGTTATCTATAAATTGAAACGAAAAAACTCTATGCTAACAAAAAAAGATGAGTACATTTTTTATTTTAAATAATTATGTGTAGTTAATGTCAAATAATACTTACTGGCAGTCTGTCTTCGTATTCTTACTGATATCCGAGCAGAAAAAAAATTTACCATTAAAAAGTTGCACCGCGATTACGGCGAATATGAATTGAAACAATATGTACACAATGAGAATGTTAATGACGTTCTTCAAAGAGTTCACGACACAGTCGAACACTGCTTTTAGTTTTGGAACACGTTTTATAGTTTTCAACGGTCTTAACACACGTAACACTCTCAACGACTTTATCGTCGACAGATTCTGACCCGCGCCACTTTTAACGCCCCTGAAACAAAACGATATGGTATTAATTATCTATTTTATTCTATTCTATCAGACCACAGACGTCCACCGCTAAACATAGGCCTCCCGCAAGCCTCGCCACAAAGACCCGTCCTGTGATGCTTGAATCCAGCAGATCCCCGCGAACCTCAACAGGTCGTCGGTACATCTTATGGCAGGCCTACCCACGTCCTCTTTTCCTTTGAATTTTATATAGGTATGAATTGGAATGCTCAATGGTGTGCAATTGGACAGGCCAGCCATAGGCTGATGATATGACGATATAGTCAGAAATTAAATTTCGCAATTACATCTCTTTTTATTTGTATAGATGAGTGAACGAACTCACGGTACACCTGGTCTCATATGGTTACCATAACCCATAGACATCACTACTTTTTTTTAATTGCTTAGATGGGTGGACGAGCTCACATCCCACCTGGTGCTAAGTGGTTGCTGGAGCCCATAGACATCTACAACGTAAATTCACCCACCCACCTGAAGATATAAGTTCTAAGGTTTCAGTAAAGTTACAACGGTGCCCCACCCTTCAAAGCGAAACACATTACTGCTTCACGGCAGAAATAGGCAGAGTGGTGGTACCTATCCGCGCGGACACAATAGGTCCTACCATCAGTAAAAACTTGACTTATTCCACTCATTTGAGGCTTAAAATATATACGTCTCAATTGTATAGTATGTTCCATATTATATTTTTGTTTGATTTTTACTACACAATATTATTGCTTCACCATGGAAGTTATTCGCCCACATGAGTTAGAACGTATTTTCTTAAAAAAATGGTACTAGCCTGCGGGATTTGAATTGGATCTAGAGGTTTTGGCAAAAAGGTCAGTGTAATCAAAGAAATGTTAAAGATGTTAGTAGAAAGTAAAAAAATGTTAGTTGACTCTGTGAATTGTTTCTTGAATTGGCAACAACCTGTGGCGTTTAAGAACGCACCTTTTTATGATGCGTAAGCCGGAACGCACGAGAGGTGGGAAAAAGAATATAGTCTGTGACACGGGACCTTTTTACCGCCAAATATTTAAAACGTAAAAATAATTTATAATGTGTTTAATAATTAATTATAATTACTTAAAATTGTTTATGCCGCTACAACAATAAAATTTATATTGTTTCAACTGTGGTGTTAATTAAATAAAACACGACTTTACGGCGAAATAAAGAAGGGACTCTATATGAACTCCCTCAAACCTATACTGTCTTAAAAACAGTGCTGACTAAAATGTCTTCGCAATGAGAGAATTCATCATACCCGATCTCGAAGCCAAAGCTGACGAGGGCGCAGATCACGACGGCGGCGTCCATGATGTTCCAGAGGTCGCGGAGGTAGGCGCCCGGGTGGAACAGGATGCCAAGATCGATGATCTTCAGCAGCATCTCCACAGTGAAAACGCCCGTGAACGCGTAATCGAAGTAATTTAATATTTCGTTCCTAAGGAATATAGATACGTAGATGTTAAGTGGCCGTGTTCGATCAGTGAACTTAACATACATAATTTTTTTCTTTTTTTAATACTTCGATGAGCCAACGATTTCACGGCTCTCCCAGTGTCAAATAGGCACCGGAATCCATAGACATCAACAACGTTAATTCCGCCACCCACTTTGAGACATGAATTGTAAACCTCAGTTCTGTAGTACAACGACGGCCCACCAAACCAGAACGCATTACTGCTTCGCGGTAGAAATAGGCAGTGTGGTCGTACCTATCTATGCAGGCTCATAAGATGCCCTACTACTAGTAAATACGCAAATTAAAATTTTTGGGAATTTGATTTTTATTAGATGATATTTCGGTCATCGTGAAAGTCGTGAATATGAGTCAAGTATGCTACGTTAAGTAGGTACGTCTTCCACCGAAACAGTTGAAATGATTAAAAATTTAATTCTAAAGTTTCATTCCATTCTGCATAATTAGACACATTTTTTGTTTTGTCTTTGAATATATCCTAAGGTCCATATGACACTGTAGAGACCTTTGCTTTTAGACATCAACAAAACCAAAGGTTCCGTAGACTATTGTTAAGAACTCTCTTGTTTGCTGAGTTCTTTTGTTAGTCACTACAGCTTAGCATAAGATGAAAATAGATACGCGTTTCGACCTATCAGCAAAAAATCCTTGGATTCGCAAGCCAAAACAAGAATGTAGTAATGTTTGCTAGATCATAAGATTGATGAAGACGTTTCTATTAAAGATGATTAATGGGAATGGTTATTTACACGTATCTTGATATTATTCACATATTCATAATTTCGGATAGATTTAAAGAAATTAATGTAAGAACAGAACTAACCATTTGCTTTTTTCGCGTACGGGATCTTCGGCTGCTAAAGCTGCAGAGCTCATACATATAACTACCATGATAAAAAAATCAAAATATCTTAAATTTACAACCCAGTGTGCGCCTCTCCTTATTCTGAAACAAGAAAAATATTGATAAGCCAATAGTCGTCCTTGAACACAATTAAAACGAATGAAATAAAATATCCGTTGTAAAATACAAGTTGAATCATTTCTGAAATTTTTTGTATATTTTTATTCAAGAGCTTTTAATAGTCCAAAACATTCACCGGTAAAGACCGATTATTCCGGAGGTAATTTAATTTTTTGAACTACTTTATAAATTTATTAAATCAAAATGTAAGGTAGTTTAATAACCTAAAAGTAAATTTTGTAAATGTAGTAGTACCAAAAGTAAACCAGTAGTATTAGTATGCCCTGGTCAAGTAGCCACAAACTATTTTTGTGGCGAAATAGTTCTTAAGGCAGGTAGATAGAGCTCTTAATATAATTGACACTTCGACATCACTTGTCAAGGTTGGTGACGGCAATTCCAAGGTGAAATGATTTACCTGTGGACTCCGGTAAAGACTCAACTTTATCAAGAAATCGTCGTGGCCTAAAGCATAAGACGCCCGGTGTTTTTGTATCGAGCGATAGAACTGTGCCGGTGTTCAAACACCGTAGAGTTATTTAACTTATTTAGCGCAGCCGACGATCGTCTTCCACAGTAGCAGAATAAAATACGTTTATAACGTGATAAACTATAATCTCACAAAAAATATAAAATCGTATAACTACTGGTGATAGAATATATTCCTAATGACATTTTCGTGCGAAGTCAGTCATATGTTTATAATGCATCTGGGACTTCGACTCCACGTCTGAAGGTAGCCACTTAATGACAGGTGGGTAAGTTCGTCAGCCCATCTACTTTAATAAATACAATTTTCCTAATATTGCCTGCTCTAGACATCTTAGTAACTCACGGATTAGTAGGTGATAAAATAAACATGGACGAATATGGCAGCATTGGTTTTGGTCCGTCTGGTATCTCTTCATCTTCATCTTTTTTGGCCTCTTCTTTCTTTTTATTCTGTAAAGTTTTCGTATTAATGATAATTTATTGCTATCAGAATAAATGTATTTTGAAATCAAAAACATACATCATAAAATCTCTGTAAGTAAGAGCTGAATCAGTTATTAAATTCAAATGTGAGCGCAGCACTACTAAGAATTTTTTTATCGTGAATGTTTTGTTTTCATCGTGAAAATAGCTGTGATGTTAAGGCATATTTATTAAGGTTCAAATCAGCTAAACAATGTTTTCTACAATGTTATGTGGAATACGAACTACTCGTAGTATGCTATGAAAATGTTAATGCTTAAACCAAAACAGCATTTTACTGACGTGAAACATCCCAGACAACATGAATATGATTTTTATTTTATATTAACCATTTTGGTATAAACGACAAGAATTTTATAAAATACCTATTGTTACAATTTAGCCCACAGAAGCGACATCGACCCGTTGATGATGATCTATTTAAAATATTGTTAATATTGCCTTTTGTGTTGTGTTGATTACAAGATAGTTTAATTCAAGAGATAAACGATTTGGTCTACCATGCTTATCTAGCCATGCTGTGACAAAAAGCCTCATAGTAAGCACCGATAAAGAAGAAGTCTATACGGAATATCAACAATATTTCAAGTCATCAAATTGATAGCACACGATCAAGCATAGCTCAGCCACCATCGCTTGGTTTACCTTCCTACTCGCCGGCGACGACGGACTTAAGTCAACTCCAGGTGGAGTCCCGTCCAACGCGTGTAACGCACCCATCTCTTTCTCCAATTCCTAATTAGTCGGAACAGATTTGCGCACATGAAATTTCGGATATATCCAATCACGGAATTTGTAAAGACGCTCGTGAAGAAGTGGATCATGCTATGACATTGAGATAGTGAATCTACAGAACTCGAAAGCATTGGTAGATAGCGAACTGCCGTGATCGTCTTCGTGTTTTTAATTTTAATTTTAAAGAAGCAATTACTTACTTGTTGCTGCTTCTCTTTGTCTTCCTCGACTTGTTCCTCTTCGGCGGCTGTCAGTTCCTGAAATATCACAATTGCAACATTTACACGGAAAGCGGAATTTTACAGATCAGCATTTACGTTCACACAAATAGAACAATTAGCTTCCTCGTCATATAGTACAACATGTAAAGGATTTTGCGTTCGTTGACATCCTAATCGAAATTCATTCATCATTCGATAAACCTAAAAAACGATACACTTCAATACTTTAAATAGGTCAATCTAATTTGGAGGTCAACCAACGAATGCTGCTGAAACGGACGGTGAGATACACACCTGGGCATTAGCCAAGTTGTCGACAGCGATGGCAAGGAACACGTTCAGCAATGTGTAGTTGCCGAATAAGACCAGAACGACAAAGTACAATGAGTACAGCATGCCCTTCTGAATACCTCCTTGAGATTGGATGCCGTGATACATAACCTCGTTCCAATCTTCACCTGTGAGAATCTACACAAAAAATATTAATCCTTTAACAATACGTTGTTTTATTGTTTTTATTATTTGTTTTTCGCATTTTGAACAGTTGTCACATCTTCTAAACAAGAATGTGGTTAAACCTTTAGACACATTATTTTGTCTTAATTAGCTAGCGATCATTGTTGTCTTCAAACTAGGTGAGGCGTCTTATCCGCACGGGTAGGTATCACCTACCTAAGTACCACCTTGCCTATTCCTGAGACAGCCTTTTTACAATATATACAAGGATTAAGCCCCGTGTCTTAATTTGGGTGGCGGTATTCACGTAGATATGACTATGGGCTTCGGTAACTACTTAACATCAGGTGGACCGCAAGTTCGATTCTAAACAATAAAAAAAGAAAAAATTTGAATGCTCGGAAAAAGCAGACATAAAAGAATATATACAAATGAAACTGAAATTGACTCAAAGGGAGCTATTATGTTTTTTTTACTACGAAAAGTTAATAAATTTGGTGATATTATGTGCCTTATTATGTGATGTAATGAGACGAAATGAAAATGAGGTTGGTAAGAGAATGTTAACTATGAATGTGGAAGGACATAGAGGAAGAGGTAGACCTAAGAAGAAATAGATGGATTGCGTGAAAGACGGTATGGGTAAGAAGGGAGTGAGCGAAGAAATTGTATATTATAGAAGAGTATGGATGGAGAAAACATGTTGCGCCGACCCCAGGTGACTGGGAGAAGGGCAGGATAATGATGATTATGTGCCTTATTATAATTATTAATATCGTATCTACTACTAATTGCTTGTTATTGGGTAAGTACCTGGAAGACAGTGAGCAACGCAATAGGAAAGGTGTTGAAGTTGGTCGCCGGCGTGCCCTCCTCGAAGTTGAACTGTCCTCCGAAGAGCTGCATGCCGAGTAGAGCGAAGATAAGAATGAACAAGAACAGCAGGAACAGCAACGAAATGATAGACCTCATTGAGTTCAGTAGAGATATCACCAGGTTCCTTAATGATGACCAATACTTTGTGACCTGCAAAAAATAGTTTTGATGTAACTCAAAGCATTGTTCAATTAGTTCTGGTAGTCTTTAGAGTGGAAGTAGATCACAAATATTTTGCGGCAGATATATGCTGTTATATGTATAGGTGTAGCCTTAAAAATGGCCGCACTTATGTAAAACAATGTCATTTCTTCATGCTTCAGTCATTTTTGAACACATGCTAGATATGTATGTGTAAGAAAAAAAAAGCCACTCCGCACCATCTACATATATCATAGCTTATTGATAAACCAGGCGGCTTACACAACAGATTTTTCAGCTTCATTAACTAAATTTTCTAGTTCTTGCTAGTTTTCGGTTTTTAGTGCTTCTTTTCTAGTTTTGCTGCAGGCAGCGGCTTGGCTCTGCCCCTGGCATTGCTAAAGTTCATGGGCGACGGTAACCACTCACCATCAGGTGGGCCGTATGCTCGTCTGGCTACAAGGGCAATTAAAGAAAAAAAGAATCTTAGCTAATTTCTTTATTAATATGTTAATAATTACCTTGAATATCCTCAGCAGTCTTAGAGCTCTCAAGACAGAAAGACCAAAGGAACCGCCCTTCACTTCCGACCACACAACCTCGAAGATTGAGCCGGAAATGACAACGCAGTCGAAACGGTTGAAAGAAGATTCGAAGTAAATTCGTGGACCCAGTGCGTACATTTTAACTATCATTTCCATCATAAACAAACCAAGAAATACATACTCTGCATAATCTGAAAAGACAAATAATTTGTTAATAAACGTGACTAACGACTTTAGGATTTCTTTGTTAATATTTGCTGAACTCTTTAGAGCTTAAGATATAAATTTACTAAGTATGACGATCGATGTCCAATTTTTTGTATTACTATATAATTTTTGGCCAATTTATGTTTAGTATTAAGCATTGTGGAAATTACTTAATAAAAACAAATTGCGATAAATATGAAGTTAAGAATTAATAGCATCTTTAATTTTCATTTTTTTTCTATTGCTTTGATGGGTGGACGGTCTCACAGTCCACCTGGTGTTAAGTGGTTACTGGAGCCCATAGAATCTACAACGTAAATGCGCCACCCACCTTGAGATATAAGTTCTAAGGTCTCAAGTATAGTTACAACGGCTGCCCCGCCCTTCAAACCGAAACGCCTTACTGCTTCAAGGCACAAATAGGCGGGGTGGTGGTACCTACCCGCGCGGACTCACAAGAGGTCCTACTACCAATAAAAATGATGGTATTAACTCACATAAAAATGAAGTAAGCCATTCAGGCTGATTATAGTGCTCGACGGCGACACATATCGTGTTGAAGAGCACCAATACGATGACCGACCAATAAAACCACTGGGTTTTCACCGTATGCCTAATCCAAAACCGAAACCTCTTCTCAGCACGCCAGAAATCTGCGCATTTGCCAGGCGACCTCGATTTTCCTTTCAGAAAACCTGTTGCGTTAAGAAAGAAATTTTTATTATTCAAAATTAAAAAAAAAAACGTTGATTGGACAATTAACTGAAATAGTGCTTTCCAGTTAATTGTTTAATCAACTGCTCTCACTAGAGATTAGGTTCATTCCACTAAATATTTTACATCTAGCTAATTTGTTTAGTGTAACATTACTACGCAGTGGTCCAAATGTTCCATAAATCTCTAGTACGGATTTGGTCATAACGATCCATAACCCGTTCAAATTGGATGTCATTTTCGTAATAAAATTCAATCGGAGCCGAAATACGATCTCCCTCGCACATAAATCTCAGAACTCTTTTGGGACAGTTTGGTTCTGCACAATTAGAACACGTCACGTTGTACGGTAACGTTAAGACAATTTTTTTCGTGAACTCTAAGATAAAGCCAAGAAGACGAGGGAAAAGACAAGACAGTTTGGAAACAAGGTTAGGAGAAACACGCCTCTACGTTGTGAAAGTAAACTTTAATAATATGTACAATAAGGTTTCGAATTCATGATGCATTTTACGTATAGACGTCCAAAGAAGGTTCGAAAAGAAATTCGCTAGCCTAAAGCTAAGTCTAATCTATTTTACTACAAAGAAGATTTAAAGGAATATTCTACCAGAACCACGTTTGATCCCATACCTTGCTTTTTCTTTGGAACTGTAAACAACCAACACACAAATAGAGTACGAAGTAACAAAAGTGAATTTAATGCCTTAAGAAGATAATTCTCGTAAAAACAAATAGAACATGCAACATTCACATGTAAGTTTTATCTACATTTAATGTTGATATAACTAATGATACGACGAACAAAACATTTGATTATTATTAACTTTTAAAATACGAAAATGGATACACACATTAAATCTTAACAGCAAATGCATGCGTAAACTAAACTTGTAAAATTATCATAAAAGCAAACAGAATAGTGGTTTGAATTATAGAGAAGTATTGGGTCACACGATAGATTTGTAACATATAAATGAATAGCTACTGACCGTCGTCCCCGCATTCCTCGTCTTGTTCTTCTTCCTCTGTGTCAGTGCTTTTACTTTTCCCTAAATTTTTTAATTTCTTTTTGGCAGCTGCTCTTCTCCGTGCTAGAATGCCAAATAACTATTAAGCGTGATTATTTTTTAACTTATTGCATCAATCGGTGGACAAGTTCAAGGAAGATATATTTACATATCACCACAATATGAATGTTGTCATCCTTTTTGAGACATGAGATCATTTAAAAGGCGTTCTATCAGTAGTAATTTCGCAAAGAATGTTTTTTGTGGCTTAGATTTTTGATACTAATTGTGAACACGTATTAAGCGTGTGTTTCTACCGGGCTTGAACACCAACTTATCTAGTTGCATCGCTAGGTACGACCACACTGGGCGTTTTATGCACCAATTTGATGACTTCAAATTTTATATATAGGCAAGTCCTATAAGGAGATCAGGAACCTATGTAAATTTTACATCTGATATGAACATTATTAAATTATTTAAAATCACATGTTTGAAAAAAATATTTCAAATACATATTTTAATAGGAAAAATCCCTCGGTCACACACACACACACCTTAATCAGAAACCAGAATTACTATTTAGCCTAGCCATTCAATTTCAGGGCTATTCTAAGCATTTCGTGTTTTAAAAGTTTTAATTGATGATGATGGGTATATTTCCGTGAATTGTAGGTGTTCCCGTTCCGAGGTTGGATAGCCATTATGCAACACAATCAAAATTTCGATCTAATGTATCATGCTACATAGTGAGTTTTATACTGTGGTCCACATGAGTTTTGATAACCACTTGAGACAACCAACCACAAGCTAGTTTTATGTGATTACAAATAAGCATCAACGTACTCACCTTCTATTATATGCATTCTTTCTTCTTCTGTTGTTCTTTCTTCCGCTAATATAACTTCCTCTATAAAAGGTAATTACATTTTATTTCAAATAATAATAATAATAATAATAATAATAAAACAATCACTAGAAAAACAATATGAATATCTACGTATCGTTCAACTGCTAAAACTCACCAGCTTTACATATCCACTCAACATAACCGTTGAGCTCTTTCTCAAGTTGTTGCTGCCTTCGTAGCTTAAGAAATTCTTGTCTATTTTCGACTTTTTCTCTTTCTTTAGCAAATTCACTGCAACAATAGCATTACGAATGGTTTCTAGCAGACTTAGCATTCCTACATATCGACTGAAAATTAGCGTTTACAAACAAAAAGACTGTCTTTGAGTTCTACAATGTGCAATGATGTGAGCAATACCTGTTCTTATCTAACGTTTTTTATAAATTAGCTTTAACACAACTCTTGAATGACGTAACGAATCTTAGAATACACTATGTTTTGTCTCTTTCAGTCGTGTTTGGACTGTCGATGAAATAGACGCAACAGATGAGGCATTTTTTTTTAATTTTAGCGTTATATTGTGTGGTTGATTGAACCTGCTTCAGTAATCCAGTTAAGATAAGCAGTGAAGTCACGGTTGAACAGTTGGCGAGCTCTTTCCTTAACAAATTGAGCCCGCCTCTCGACACGACCTCGCTCGTTGGAAAACTCTCTAACCGTGGGGGTAACGATGATTTAAAAAAAAATGTAACATAATTTTAAAACTATATATGTAGCTATATAAAAACAAGATTTTTTGTTAATTAAATAAAAAGAAATGAAAAAAGTTAGGAAATGAAGAAAACATTGATTAAATCAATGAAAACCAAACTAGGGTAATTTAAATAAATCACTGTTTTTTTTTGTAAATAGAACTATAATGTCTTACCCGCTAAGGACACCAAGAACTAAATTGAGCATAAAGAATGAACCCAATACTATTAGAGGCACAAAGTAAATCCAGTTGAACGCACAACCCAGCGCGTCGTTTGTCTGAAACAAAATATAACCAGATATATGAACTATTTGTTTTTCATAATTCAACATACATTCTCGCGTTTAATATTGAAATTTAAACTTTATTATTATTAAAACTATACTATTCAAGTAGTATTTAAATGAATGAAAATTTCAAAGAAACAACAGGGGTTTCGCCTGCCAGAGATTGTGACATTTTTTTATATTTCCGTACTATCTGTGTGAACAACTCTTTTATTTCATTTTATCATCACCGACGTGTCGATATCATTACATTTTTCGTAGTCACACGGACGACTGAGACTATTCGGCGATATTTTAATGCTGCGCTAATTATTATTTATTAAAAAATTTTTTTTATTATTTGCGTTAAAAACTGACCTACCTTATGGTCACCTACCTAAGAGTTTGTTTGTGACAATTTTGTTAGTTGTTTGTTTTAATTATTTCATTTTCCAAAAATCTTATCTATGTCGCAGAGTTTTCGAAAAAGACGACAGTTACTTTTGATTACATTAACAATTAGTTAGTATTAAGTGATTAATAAAAATTTTTCAGTACTCAGTACTAACTTTTTTCCTTCTTTTCCTTCCTTTTTTTCCTACCTAAGCTGATTGCCTTGAGAGGCTTTTTCAGCGTAACCTAAACTAGTAGGTGAGCTCACGGGGCTCAAGCCTGACGACGTTGCTAATAAATCCTAGCAAGAGAGGTCTTCGCAGAATCTACCACCGAATCGGAAACCCGACCCACTGAGAAGATACGGCGAGAGTTTTTCTTCCCAGTATCTTAGTCTACTATCAAAAAGTTGACTCACCCAATAGAGAATGGCGGTCCAGCCCTCCATGGTGATGCACTGGAAGACAGTGAGCATTGCGAAGCCGATATTATCGAAAGACGTGATGCCCCTGTTTGGCCCTTCCCATTTCTCTAAACACGTGCTGATGTCATCTCTGCAAACGTTCGCCCCGTACGGAGCTAGTGTTTGGTTATCAGCATTACACGGTGTTGCACTGTCACCTTCATTTGCTATTTGACCTGTAGGATATTTATTTATAACAATCAAAATTTGAGTAACAAATCAAAATATTTACTTTGTTGATTGACAAAAGACAGGATGTGTTTCCCTTGATGACTTCGGTTCTCTTGTTGTTTATGCCGCCTATGAGAAGTGCTCTGAGGAATAGTTTCAAACATCTACCTAAGCAGATAACGGATACAGACTTAAAGTGCTATCTGGTTCTGCAATTAACCCATTCCACGGCGTTGCTAAGTGCTATGTCGTGTCTTCCTTCAAACGAGATTTGGAGAGAGTTCTCGACAATAGGTAGCGGCTAATTTTCTATTGCTAATGTCCATGAGCGAGGGTGATCACTCACTAATACTCAATATAAATGAAAGGAATACTTTATTCGCTCAGCAAAGTTACTCATAATTTCAGGAAATTCGTAATTAATCCGCAAAAGCAAAGTCAGTTCGTTAACGCTCCCCGCGACACATGAGATCTTTAGCCCCGTGCATTTAGTTGATGTTATATATTGTCTTTTATTGCGACCGGTTGATAATAAAATTACGTTTTTGGAACGAAGTTTCTTATGGGACGATGCGGAGGGGTACCTAACCGGGAAAAAACGTCCGTAACGTAAGATTTTTATTATTATATTAGGATGATGGCTATAATAATATAGTGTCTAAAGTATAGTCTACGTGATGACGGTTAGTATTATTATTCATATAAATAGCTGTTTCTTTGTATATTATTACTATACCGTTTTTTATAAATTATTGTGAATAAAATAAAGTTGATAACTTTGTAAAGTAGTTTTATTTTTATTTTTATCATTAAAAAAATCATAAAAAAAATGTATACCCGAATAATTATTTTCTTTATACCTCGAATAGAACTTAAAATTAACATTTTTATAATAAGAAACTTCGTTCCTATCCGGTGTCTCACGACACCACATATCTTTTTTTACACGCGACTTTTTGTCTTGCCTAGACAATATGAAAATTGGTGGCACAGTTCATACTTTAATATGAAAATTAACTTACTAATATCTTCTAAACTATAACAAGTCTTATGCAGCGCGCCCGAGTAGAACTCGAGGCCGATGATGGCAAAGATAACAATCGCGAAAAGCACCAACAGGCCTATCTGCAGCAACGGGGCCATCGCCTTTATTATGGATTTCAGGACCACTTGCAGACCTGATGCATATAATTATAAGCTTTATTTCAAAGTCATAAGGTAGGTATTTAAAGTTACGATATGAATAGATCGCAGAATTGTTTTTTTTTTAAGTATTTGATTATAAATGTTTTTATTTTTATACAGAAATAGGTACAAACGTTAAACACATATTATGTATAAACAAAATCCAATAGTTATTGAATAGCCAGATTTGCTGAAAATTTATGATTTCTATATAGAGTATAGTTAAGTATCTCATTAACAAGACTTAATTCAGAATAGATGCGACGGAGATAGAAAAGATTAATATGAGCTACAGTTTAAATAAATAAATATGAGAACTACAAGAGTTAATGCTCAATCGAAGAATACAATGACAGAACATATTAAATAAATTAGATCACAATCAAACTGAACAACTTTGTTGCATACATTTTATTATCACATGGCACGATGCAATACGTGCATTGCGTTTTCATATGGAATACAATTCTACGGTCGCTTCCGTCCAAAAGATTTGACGCTAGCAAGACAAAAAATTTAAACAAATTAAGTATATTTAAATATATGCAACATAAATGTTCGTGATGCTATTTAAAACTAAGCTAGGAAGATTCTAGAACTCACTAGGAATGCCCGATACTAATTTAAGGGGCCTCAGCACCCTAATGGCACGCAAGGTCCTGAAGTCGACTTCGGGCACCATCGGCGTCTGCGTGATGATACTGCCAAACACATATCACTCGATACTATAGCTTGAACTAGCAACTACCTTAGTAATAAAATGCTACTGAAGATTGTGCTTGTCAGGGAATAATTTTGTCAGACACGTTTCATTCGTTATGTTGGCCGCAATGGACTTTACACAATCTCCAAGTTTCTTTAAAACAAATGTGCTACATTCTATGAAATCGTGTGTCTAATTATCGTCGTATTAAAATTTACTGATTTCCATCTAATGTACACCATAATTATTCACACCTAGAATATAATAGTTATTTGGACTAAATTAATTAATTACGATTTAGCCTTTCGTATTTGAGAACACCTACACAATACACAAAAACTTATAGCAAATTACTCTTATGCAACACGTAGCCTTAATTAAAAGTACATTTCACATCTTATTACGCATGAGAAAAACACACATTTACTAATTTGTGTTACATAAACGTGTCAGTGAACAAACCGAGAATACATTACTACATTAATCATTTGCTAATGAATTGAAAAAAAAAAACTATGTTTCACAGCTAACGATTTTATCTACGTTCAAATAATTCGAAATTTAAAAATCCAAAAAACATCTAGCCAGAACCTTCTATGACAATAAATAAGGTAGTAATTAATTATATGAACTTTTCGCCAATTACTGTGAATTACTTGGTATCCGCGAGACGAGCTTGAGCGGTCGGAGCACTCTGAACGAGCGCAGCATCCGCAGGTCAACGTCCACGTTGTATTCGGCGAATATCGTCATCGACCTATTTTTGTTATGTTTTTTTTTATTGAATATCGTATACACTGAAACCGTCTAAAGAAACCTATGCGTAACCTAAAAATTTTGGTTTCAGATTCAGCCAATTGCTTACCCTGATCTCTTCAAAGCTAAAATTTTGCATTTCGAATTTTTTGCTAATCTGTAACACGCAGTGGACAAAGAGGTCAAGTTTCAAAATACTAATATATAATTTTTTATTGTGATTATTTGTAGACTGCGCGTCGAATACATATCAGTTGGCGTTTATGGTATTAGTCTAAATCCATATACTAAAGTTTTAGTGTGATTAGGTAATTTTATTAGAGCTTCTTTTGTCATTACAAAATGTTGACGTTATCATATTTTTTACATAATCACACGTGTAATAATATTAAGTGCTACCATTGGTTAATTGGTTTTGAGTACTCACCCCGTTAGCACAACAAAAAAATCCATGATGTTCCAAATGTTCCTAAGATAAGATCCCTTATGTAAAACAAAACCTAAGGCTAAAATTTTCAACGATGCTTCTACACAAAATATGCCTAAAAAGATCGTCTCGGTCTTTTCCTGTAACAAAAATAAAATATTATATGTAGTATGAAAACTATGAAAATACATTTGCAATAACAAACCGAACTAAAAATAAATTCCATCATTTCTTATAGCGATACTGCTCAGGATATTAGAAGTTACAAAAAATATTGTATTATCTTATTTTATTATCGTATTGTAGGATTTTGATACCTGTGAAAATTTTCAAGGTTCAAAGAATCCCTTACGTACAAACAAACAGACATAGACATATATCAAATCAAATCTTATTAAAAAATATGTAGTAAGACTAATAGAAGCAACTATTAATTCATAATTCATATCATTGCATGTATTATCTGCATATTTCAGGAAGCTTAATGGAATTTTGTGGCTGAGCGTACATGTAGAAATAATCGAAGTATTGTGGCTTTAAGTTTAATTACCAAAATTCGAAAACCAGTATCAAATTATTAAACCGAATGCAGTTTTATAATTGTCATGGCTTAAAATGAATTAATTATCCATAAGTGCCATATGAAACATTAAATTCAGAATAAATTAACACTATTTTCCTATTAGCTTCCGTTGGCAGAATTAAAGTTTTGTTTATTTATGAAATATAAGCTGCTAACAGAGATACCTCTTGAAGGTCTTAGTATGTTTCCCAAAATAGCCTATCACCGCTAAACAATAAGTAACTTAGGCAATGAATAAAATTGTATTAAAGAGAAAACAGTCAAGTTTTTAGTAATTGCACAGTTAATGTTGATACAAATATTTCGAGTTATTATTGTTCTACTGCCAAGTCATCTACCCCGTCTTTTTTTTTTTTTTTTTTTAATTGCTTGGATGGGTGGACGAGCTCACAGCCCACCTGGTGTTAAGTGGTTACTGGAGCCCATAGACATCCACAACGTAAATGCGCCACCCACCTTGAGATACAAGTTCTAAGGTCTCAAGTATAGTTACATGTTCCGTTATAACTACTGAATCATGCATCCGATATTGAATATATATGTCTGATATTGAATTGTTACAAGCTTAGCATTTTGAAGCAATTTTCGTTGCATAAGTTTAGTAATAAGATGGGCTATGTTACTCATACACCACCATGACAATTAGAATCGAAGTTTCAAAGAAGATTATTATTATTATTAGAAGCAGTTAGATTTTCTTAATAATAATATTTTGGTCGGCTATCTGAAAACATTACACTACTGCTACTATTTTTCAAATAAATTTCTCGACATCACGAGAACTTTCACCATATTTTCCTCCTAGAATTTCCCATATCTTTTATAAATATTATAAATAAACGTTCCCCATTCAATGGCCCAAGATTATCCTTGGTATTGCGCTGAAAATAAATGCGATGTACGAACAGGGCTCAACCAGAATACGAAATATCTTTCATTAAAATGACTCCGATAGGAAATCGATGGTATACAATCCTGTTACTGAACATGATACCAACGTGGTGGTCATGTTGTTTGTGGGCTCCAGTAACGTATAGGTTACTATAGAAAAGGCTTACCAGGTTCTGTGCTAAGATGGTCTTATCGCCGTTGGGCAGATGCTCCTCCAGCGCCAGCACCACGCAGTTGGCGATGATGGTAAGTAGCACCGCGTACTCGAAAGGCGGCCACTCGATAATAAATTTTGTTGTTCTGAAATTAAGGACGATTCCGATTTAATTTAACTAGAATATCGTCTAGAAGTTATTTACATGTTTTGAATCATCTAATTTTACCAGTCTGGCTCTTTAATGCTGCTTTTATAATATAGCAACAAAAAAGTAGTAATTTTTTAATTTGGAAACTGTCAATTTCACAATCTAGCGCTAATTTCGATAAATATGCTTGTGTTATCAAGATGGAGTAAGGTGATATAGAAAGCCGTACCTATTGCTATGACAGCATTACATAAAGAAAACTATCACAGTGAATTAACGCATAGACCCCACTGACCCCACTGAGTTTCTCGCCGGAACTTCTCAGTGTTTGAGCCCCGTGAGCTTACCTACACGTCAAGGAAGCTAAAATAGCCTCTCAAGGCTGTCAGCATAGGTAGGAAATAAAATACACAAAGTCGGCATAGAGACAAATGCAATTTTTTAGACCTCATCTGCTTGGTATTAGTCGTAATAAACATGTACATGATCCATTATACATATATGTGTAACACTATTATGGTAGCTAGATAGGTATCATGCACCGTTCTTGCTTATTGAAGGAGTAAAGCAAAGTATTTAAACCCATGTAGTTAGTATTCGTAGTAAAATACAATCGAATAGAAAGAATGTCAGGAAAATGCAGCATAAAAGAAATGCACTTTATTAAGATTGTAAAAATGAACAGGTGGTAAAATTTAAATTACTAAAGCGGTACGAAGAGAATGGTCACAGATACCCAGGCACGATATCATAAAACTCAACCACACAAACACGACTGAAAAGGGACGATTCTAAGTTCATCATAGGTTTGATCTTAAGCTACTTGACTTTGTTGTATAGTTTATTTTAAACAATAGTGCATGCATAAAATAAAAAAAAAGCAAGCGAATGCTTATAAAAGGGTTTTTCGCAAAACTAGATCCGACATTGTGCTTCCGATTATGATTCACTATAGTCCCAGGGAAGCGTGGCTGAGTTTGAAAAGTCATTAACAAAATCTAAACCATAACTATAGTCACTAAAAGTTTAAATTATCGTAATAAAAATGTATTTTCATTCTGTTTACGGTCGAAATTGGATTCCGCTGAGATATAGGAGGAAGAGCCTCGTATTTACAAAATGCATGAAGGGCCAAACAAGGCGCTCGTTTAATATTTAGAAGCCAAGGCTATTGTAGGCCGAGCTAGTAAACGACTTGGTCCAACATTATCCGGAAATTTCCGAGGGTGTCCAAATGGAAATGTATTACATTCAAATAAAATGTTGGAAAATAGAATTGAAATAAATGTCTAATTATTTGTTTAATTCATAAATATGAGGTAAATGATTAAATGCTTAACGTATTTAATTATCATGAATATTAAAAAAAAACAATTCTGATTAAAAAATGCTAAAGGGTCTCATTCGAGATCTCGCTCGAGATAATATGCATTGCTATGCATTGCAATTGAATTGCTATTGTGAAACATTGACTGTGGGCCACGGCATTTACGTTGTAATGGTTCTGGACTACAATATTCAAAACAACAGATTAGTCATCATCTTCCACTTTAATATATATACATAGCTACCTTAAACAATAATAACGCAAAACGAATGGGCCGTAACCGCGAGTCTTCACACAAAAAAAGCAAAGATGGGTGCAATACTTTTTTTTCGTTTTGCCGGATTTCAAATCACAAAGATACTAAAGAAGTTTTTAGTTCCACGATTTTAAGTAATCCGTACTGATGTATATTTAACCAGTCTACAGAACACAAGGAAGGGTGCACGGTATAAGACCGCGCGCGTGCGATAAACCGTTCAAATTAAGATTTTTTTTTTTTTTTAATTTTTTTTATTGTTTATGTGGGTGGACGAGCTCACAGCCCACCTGGCATTAAGTGGTTATTGGAGCCCATAGACATCTACAACGTAAATGCGCCACCCACCTTGAGATATAAGTTCGAAGGTCTCAGTATAGTTACAACGGCTGCCCTACCCTTCAACCCGAAACCCATTACTGCTTCACGGCAGAAATAGGCGGGGTGGTGGTACCTACCTGTGTGGACTCACAAGAGGTCCTACCACCAGTGAAGTGTTAATTAGAAAGTTCTTTAAATAGGTGCAGTAGCATGGACATAAACAAGAAGAAGTGGGGAACATCGTGAGACTAAGTAGAATTACGTAGTACTGGTAGTAGGACCTCTTGCGAGTCCGCGCGGGTGGGTACCACCACCCTGCCTATTTCTGCCGTGAAGCAGTAATGCGTTTCAGTTTGAAGGGTGAGGCAGCCATTGTAACAATACTGAGACCTTAGAACTTATCTCAAGGTGTGTGTCGCGTTTACTTTGTAGATGTCTATGGGCTCCAGTAACCACTTAACATCAGGTGGGCTGTGAGCACGTCCACCCATCTAAGCAATAAAAAAAAATTGAAGAATACTGACCTCCGAATAAGATTTTCGTCGGAAAATATAAACAGCGAGCTGGGCCCCGGAGTTGCGGGCTGGTGCGCGCCGCCCATGGTATCAGCTGGCGCCGCGCGAGCCTGCGCGCCCGCCGCCTCCTGCGCTGCCGCCAACCTGAAAACACATCATTCCTATTAAGCATATATGTTACTTAAGCCGTAGGGCGATACTAAAAAGAAACCATACGGCTCACGTGGCCACTGGTTTTATCGTCACAGGTAACTACAACGGTAAATTACGAACTTTAATTGAACGGTCTTGTGAGTCCGCACGGGTACGTACCACCACCCTGCCTGTTCCAGACGTGAAGCAGTAATGCGTTTCGGTTTGAAGGATGGGGCAGCCGTTGTAACTATACTGAGACCTTAGAACTCGTATCTCAAGGTGGGTGGTGGCATTTACGTTGTAGATGACTATTTACTCCAGTAACCACTCAGCATCAGGTGGGCCGTGAGCTCGTCCACCTATTTATGCAATAAAAAAAAAGGAAATAAACACCAAGAGTTATGAATATCCTTTTAATGGAAATACTCTGCTTGCTGAGAAAAATCTGCTTTGAAAAAACAGGCTGTCATCTGAAATATTCAAAAAATTAGGATCTATATTTACCCAACCATAAATATGATAGAAGTATAAGGCTTCGCTTAATGATATTGAATGCAACGTATTTTAAATAGCAGCACAGTAGTCTAAAGTTACTCTAATTACTGCTAAAATGAACCGGAAACCGCTTTCAATGGCCATGTAAAAGGCGTAGTCAATATCAAATGACCCAAGTTGCTTGGATCCCGGCGGATATTAGAAAGTTGGAGGAAGCCTTCCTATTTGGTACTCAAATATAGAGACAGTTAAGCCAACAACTAATTTCCAGCTAATAATCTATGGCAAATAGATTTGACCGAATTATGTAAGTCTCCAAATAACACGTAAGAATGATGAGAGTCAAATTTAAGTTTACTTTATGTGGATTTTGATTGAAGGATAAAAATATAAGCAAAAGTGTGTGTAATTAATTAAAAAAAGAAAACTCGAAAAACCGTGGCGAACGTACGTATGATATTTACTATTTCACAGAAAACTTAAGATCCATTTTGACATCTCTACTGCTATTATCGTTTATATTTATCCATGAAAAGCACAAATAATTAATAAACAAAAATTTCGAACATTTTTCATTATTAAAACAATGAACTTAGCGCTATGTAGACACAATACGTACTTAAAGCTTTAACAATTAAAAATTAACTTGTTCCAGCCGAGAAAATATAGATTTACGACGTATTTATAAGCCTTTTACAGCTGTGTTGTAGCTGAACTAAACAGACAGGCGAAATATAGGTCAGTGCCTTATAAGTCGATCGTGCTAAAGCGAGGCAAAAAGGGGGAGCCACCGATGCATTAGACTAATTAATTTTGACGGCGTATCGGTGGCGCGGAAGTTTTTACTTCAGAAATGTTAATGTAATCGTTACGTGTTTTTCTGGCACGTAACTGAAGGGTAATAGAAGTTAGAAGCTACGTAATTTCTGCTCTTATATCACATTTTGAGCCCGTATAGGCGCGGGAGGCCACCAATGCGGTGGACCGGCCAAATTAAAACTGCATTGGGAGGTCCCCTAAATGAGTGCAGTAGAATGGCCTCGAGCAGGGAGAGATGGCGCGACATCGTGAGACGCATCAAGTCTGCCCCTTCCAACACTACATGACGATCACGACCACTCTGTCAAGAGTGACACGATTAAAGAAAAATAGGTTCTTAGGTTCTATATTTGTGCCGCGAACACATTCGATTCTATTTGAAATATGAGACAGCCATTACACAATACAATTATGGCTTCGATCACACGTCTCGAGGTAGTTGGAAACTTTAAATCTGCACTCACAATCCCTTAACCAATAACATCAACATCGAGTGCTGCAACTCTGCTTTAAACATCGGCTTTGCTGCCTTCCTGTTATTTCTGACGTCTATGAGTGACAGTAATCATTCACTATCAGGTGACCCGTACGCTCGTCTGCCCATAATGGCAATCAAAAAAATCAGCGGAATGTTATGAAAAGGTTTACCCAACTCACTAAATTAAAGCACAAGATAACTATGAAATACAACTATTTTACAAAGAATGTGGTGTACAACTTAGGCATATCACGTATTTATTATTATTCTCCGTTCCCCGATCCAACTAAGTGGAGTTGATGCAACAGCTGCAGGACAAGAATTACTGATAAGTAAAACCAGAACACTGTTAAAAGTATTAGTAGCCTTATAAACCGGCACGAGTCGGTACTGCCCATTTGTGGGGCGAAGTACGTTTTTCGGTTTTCAATTCAATATTTAATACCATGTCTCAAAATCGGCAATAATCATGTTGTGACTTCAGTAACAGCTCACCACAAGACGAGCAAGGCGCGTTTTGCTTCGCCTTATCGGTCTTATTAAAACTCCATTAATTTTTTTTTCTCTTAATTTAGTCTACCATTAGTTTATAATGTATCCAACATTGCTTACATAAATACGTACCTAACATAAGATGGGTTAACTAATTGAAATTATGAAGAGTCTTGATGTGTTAAATTACATAATTCAGACCTTATTAAATACTTGACCAAAACTTCTTGCTTATACTCTGACAAGGCTCATAGGGCTATTGACGACACGTAACTGGCCGAAAAACCTTCACAAATCCAGGTCAATAGTCCAATGTATCGGGAACAGACAGACTTCGAGAAATATCGGTCGGTAATTAGGCGAATACGGATGCCGCCGGTAAAGGTTGACTTGACATTTCGTTACGAAATCTATTTGCGTGAAATTTTAGATGAGATCAGATGTTTTATTTTAATTAACCAAGTGGATTGAATCGTTTTCGATATTACATTTATAGATTCGTGGGCACTTGGGTGAGCGCGAACGATTATTGTGAAGGTTTAATTGTATTGAATTTGGAATGAATTGATTTTATTTTTCAGTTGTTTTCCTGTAGATAGATAACTTGAGTCAAATGGGTGAAGATTTTATTAAATTAGCACGTTATTGCTCGAGGTAGGCGGGCGGTGGTTCCCGAGTGGGCTGACAATTTTAACAGTAATTACGTAAATTTATTGGTGGTAGGACCTCTTGTGAGTCCGCGTGCGTAGGTACCATCACTCTGCCTATTTCTGCCGTGAAGCAGTAATGCGTTTCGGTTTGAAGGGTGGGGCAGCCGTTGTAACTATACTTGAGACCTTAGAATTTATATCTCAAGGTGGGTGGCGCATTTACGCTGTGGATGTCTATGGGCTCCAGTAACCACTTAACACCAGGTGGGCTGAGAGCTTGTCCACCCACCTAAGCAATAAAATAAAAAAATTCTGCAGTTGATCTATATTGCTTTTAATCCATGTTTAATACATGTTTTTTATTGTGACCTAAAAGCTTTAGGTTAGATTTAGGTTTAGGTTTATTACATATTTTTTTAGGTTTTAGACTAAAACCCCGAAATGTATTTTATCAGTATATTGTGGCTTTGGAATCACAACGCTTTAGCCAAAATGTTTTTTTTTTAATCATAATTTAGTATTGTAAGAAATATGAAAAGCCAAGATTCTTTAGAAAATATTAATTACTTGATTAAGTTGTTTTTTTAGAATTTTCATTACGTCATTACGGTAGAAAATAAATAGAAAAGTAACGGGTGAGATTTCAAACGAGAAATCAACATAATATATCAAGAGTAAATTGTTTTAACAAAATGTTTATTCTTCAAATACAATGAGTATAATATAATCGTTCGTCATTAGTTTCACTAACCGGCCTCCTGTTAACGTCGTTTTTGAGTTTAGCATTAGGTAGCATTTTCGTTATATGAAAAATTCAAAATCAGCACAATAGATCGTCGCAGTGTTTATCGAGTGTGGCCCCGATGAGAGCGGAGGGAAGCCCAGGTCGAGTGATCGGCCGAGGCTAAGGACACTGCCGCATTTTGCCCTTCGGCCGCCTCATTAGCCGAAACACTCGAGTTATTGTCGCCTGAATATGAGAATAGAGCCTTCTTATATTACCGAAGTAGATATTTGTCGCTTTTTTCCTAAAATTAGGTCCTTTAGTAAGTAAAAGAGAAGGAGAACAAAGTGCTAAATTGTTTGACACATCGTGCTTTCATGTTTCGTGCATTGAACAAGTGCGCGCCTTATTTGAGATACTTTTATGTTCTTTTTTTTTCCTTTGTAGGCAGACGAGCATACGGCCCACCTGATGGTAAGTAGTCACCGTCGCTCATGGACGTCAGCAATGCCGGGGGCAGAGCCAAGCCGCTGCCTACCATTAAGTACTCTCCGCAAGCCTCGGTTGAAGAAGGACATGTCATAGCGCTCGGAAAACACTATGGAGGGGAGTTCATTCCAAAGCCGGATGGTCCGTGGCAAAATCGAAATGAAAAAGGTAAAGATCCGATTTTCTTTCTTCTTATATTACCGATAGCATTTTAAAGTAACACACTATATGTCTTTAAGCACCGGTAGCACCAGGTGGGTCTTGAGATCGATCACCAATCTATGCTACAGAACAAATAACAGATACATGAGACATGAGTTTTCAAGAATCAAATGTATATCATTATGCTTTAAAGCAGAATGGTAAAATCTATAATTTAGCTCTCATAATAAGCACTACACTACGCCCAGTATAAGTTGCTGTTTAGTGGTTACCAACCTTTAATATAATATGATTTAGTAGTGATACTCAAAAAACGGTAATGTAAGATTGTTTCATTAGTGGAACAAGTACAACAGTGGTAACACCAGTCTGACTACCACTCAAATGATGCAGCGAAGATGAAAAAAAAACCCTTTTTTTGACATTGTCTATGGACTCCTGTAACTTTTTAACACTTGGTCAACTTATGATTAGGTATAACTTGATTTATTTTTGTAATTACTCACTCCAAGCACACGTTCTGCATTATATCATTTCGTACACAAACTCAATTGATATGTTATTTAATACATCACTAATATTTCACAAAAAAAAATTCAAATTCTAAGTTAATTGGTCAAATTATCAAGATTTCTGATTAAAGTTATTCATAGAACTACACATGTTTGTCACACTATTAGTCAAATCACTATGACATGTT